TAATCGGATAACATAAGTTGAAATAAGCTTCATTCCTTAAATAATTTGGCCAAGAATTAGAGTCATTCCTTATAATTTAAATTTAGAATAAACAAATGTGGATGTAAAATTGTGCTGCTTTTTATGAGTTCAAATTTGCCGCTCAATAATACAACCATAGTAACGGAAGTGATGGGAAACAAGGGGAGGTAATAACTGATACACAGAACTAGCAGCAATGATGTTTGTTTACATGTGGTAAGATCGAGTTACTTTTTGAAATTAAAGGTACATTTATTAAATCTGGAATTTTCCATGAATCCCAAGGACTGAAAATGAGGGGATTGCATGGATACGGATGATTCAGCTGGTCGTCAAGGGGGTGTGTCCCCATACTAAACCAGATTATACAGAATAATTTGTGTTCCTTTTTGGAAATCAACCAATGAGAGGCGAGAATACAAACAAAATTAAATTATTTATGTATAGTGATAAAATAATGTGGAATAACTTCAGTACTTTTGGTAATAAGCTTGGACAGATATGTTATATTATCTCACCTTGAATGATTATAAAATTCATTTTATTGTAAATGTTGTGAAAAATTTGAATATACATGTATGTATATATAACATTAAAAAAAGGATATTTAAGTTGATAATTTTTTAAGTAAAAATATCCTTTCAGAGACTTGTAACAAAAAAAATTAAATCTTATATCTTAAATTGCTACTTACAATCTGATTAAAATCATCTGTATTTGTGCTTGGATTTACACCATCAGATGATTGTAAATAACTGCTGGAAGGTATCCTATGAACTGTGAGTTCTTGATTTACAGATGAGCCTCCATCTTCTTTAATTGTGTCTTGTACAACAGTGTTTTCTTTTCCTGATGTCTTGAAAAAAAATAGTTAAAATAAAAAATTAAATAAGTAAGAATTTATGAAACTAGAAATATGTCCATAGGACATGAATGCCCCTTCAAGGGTATATTAGTAATGTAACATGAAAATTTGTATTAGTGTATGAAATTTGATCAAAATATCTTGAATAGTGATGCAGTTGAATTGCTTACATCAGTATGTATCAGCATATGAAGTTTGACACTAATTTCTTTAAAGTGAGGTCAAGGTCAAAGGAAATGCCAAGGTCAAAAATGTTGATGCAGTTGAAAAGCTCTCATCATTATGTATCAGCATATTAAGTTGAAAAAATATTATGAATGGTTTATTTAAAACTGACTTAAACACATTTGATAAAAGTGAGGTCAAGGTCAAAATGAAGGTCAAGGTCAAAAAAGTTAAAGCAGTTGAATTGCTTATATTAATACGTATTAGCATATGAAGTTTAACACTAATTTAGGAAAGGTAAGGTCAAGGTCAAAGGAAAGGTCAAAGTCAAAAAATGTTGATGCAGTTGCAAAGCTCTCATCAATACCTATCAGCATACGAAGTTTGCTGAAAATATCTTGGATAGTTTTTTTTTAAACTAAGCTTTGCACTGAGCTAAATGCAAAGTGTGACAGAAGGACAGATGTAAGGACGGAAAGATGGAAGGGAGGAAGGACGGACGGACATGACAAACACCATATGGCCCGGCCATATTCATAAAAGGGCATAAAAATATAACCCCCTCAATATTTAAAATTAAAAAGTATCAAAGTAAAGCAATAAGTCACTTAAAATTCTAGGGTAAACAATTTATTAAAATTGATCAATGTCAGACTTCAATATCATAGAGCTTATTTTACGTCTTAGACAGTACCAGCACTAAATTTGAAAGTTGTTCTCGATATAATGAGCTGACAAGGGCTTCCAATATCTAGTGTCCATGTTTTATGACCCTTGATTTCTGATCTTTTTACTCGTGGTTCAAAAGTTATGGTGAAAATTCGAAAAAGCTTTTTTTAGCATATTGGTTACATTTTACTTCATAAGGTCATTGATTTTGGTGTCATTTGAAAGAATTAATTAGTGTAGTTTGCTTACCAAATATGAAGTCTCTATCGCCTATGGTTCAAAAGTAATTTCGAAAGTTTGAAAAAGTTATTTTAAGCATATAGGTCACAATCAAGGTTACAAGGTTATTGACCTTGAAGTCATTTGAAAGAACTTCATTAGTGGAGTGTGCAAACCAAATATGAGGTCTCTATCTATCATGGTTCAAAAGTTATGGCGAATGTTAAAGTTGACAACAGACAGACAGACAAACAGATAAACAGACAAACAGACAGGACAAAAACAATATACACCCCAGATCAATCAATCCGGGTGCATAAAAATTCTGCTTATATGGTAATACCTCTACTGAATACCCTAGGTACCGTACATTATTTGTGTAGGACTTTAAATTTCTAAACTGAATCAAATAATCCTTTATTGACCTTTTCAATTATTCCTAATAGCATTTTGTTTAAAATTGTTACACTACCTTTGAAACTTTCCTACATAAGATATGCAAAAAGTTTAAAAATTTTCAAGTAGTTCCTATTATCCCACTTATCTGTATTTCTCCGTTAGAATCGTCTCAAAATTCATGATAAATGATCAATTTGTAGAGCATTCTCTACAATAAGACCTTAACATGTAATTTATATATGTTTTATGAAAAGGCACGTAGCAATAGGGGGACTAGGGGGGCCTGTCCCCCTTTTTTTTTTTCTAAACATAAATTTCAGCATTGAAAATGTTCATTGAAAGACCGGTTGGGTCCCCTCCCCCCTCTTTTTGTTACAGTAAAGTGAAATAATTGTGTGAATAAAATTTGTTACTGAAAGAAGTTGACCTCTACCCCCCACCCTTTATTGTCTTATTTAGAAAATAAATATTCATAAAACAACAAAAAAAATACAAGAAACAGAAACATTTTGTTTGTTTAATTTTCGTCTATAAAACAAAAATTAGCGGTTCTGCTTGAAATCAAGTTTTTATATAAGACAAAGACCCCAAATAATACAAAATTTTAGCATATAAACAAGATATCCAAAACTACTGAAAACCATGTATAGGGTGTCAAAATCCAAGGCAGTGGGGGACCAGGCACTGGAGGATAATATATATACATGTAACTTTGGGAGAAAATTGAAATGGACTTCTGCATGTAAAAAACAACTAAAAAGAGATTTCCTAAAAATATCAAAGAGAAACTACGAGTATTTGAAGTATCAAAGAATCCATATGCGACAAGCTTAGTAACACAAAATTCTGAGGAAATTCGGTCATTTCTTGATATGCTACACTGAATGGATATGCACAGGATATTATGTTGTGTTATATCCCATACATTTTTACCTAACAGGAGTCCATGTATTTTATTTAAAACTCATATTATCATTACCATGATTAGCCTAAGTATGGCATTAACGTTGGACTTTGGTTTTTGGTAGTCTGCACACAAATTACGTTCCCTAAATTTTCAATTACTGTTTTTTATGATATGAATTTAGATCTTAAATCTGTATACTTAAGTTCTACTTACATGACTAGTCTGCTTCCCAGTCAGCTCAAGCTCTGTTCCACTGTAGCCCCGTTGTCACAGACTCAACACAGAGTTCGTCAGCCAAGTTTGCCGCCATATTGCATCTTGTTTACACAGAAGATTCAGCTAAGGGAAGTAACTCTTTGAATTTTTCAAGCGCTTTAAGTGAGGTAAAAGTTCCGAAAATTGCTCATAAAAATTATCTGCAACATATGCTTCTCATTTTTTTGCCGAAACTTTGTAGAAAAGGAAGTGTTTGTTTAATTTTTAATACCAAATTGAGATAATCTTGTTGTAGATTAAAGAATTTAATTCTTATTTTGGCTTAATTATTTAAGACAAAACTAGAATATAGAACACTGTAGAAGCATAAAAATATTTTTTTTACTTCCTTACCAGTGATGTTTAGTGGTAAAAATATTAGAATAAGTTTCTATGGTTATGTGTTTTAACTTTGATTTAATAAGATGTGACACCTATGTATCTACAAATTAAAAATGTAGTAAATATACTTTCACCGATATGGTTGCACACTTGGGGAGGTTTGGTCATGGTTTCCATGGTAACGGTTCACAAAGGTCACATGTTTTATACCAAAATGTTATCAGCGCATCCCAAATGTTTCACTATCAATGCCATTTAAAAAAGCAATTTTTTTAAGTTTCCATGATATATATAGAAGAAGCTTGACGGTTCGTGACATTCTCTCTTAATAATTTAATAGTTTATAGATGAAAAATTAAGCCATGCATATGCTCATGCATAGGATGATAGGAATATTAAATTGCATGCAGCTGGTGGTTGGTCTTTCAGTCTCAATTTTGCTCCACTTAATTGTAATAAGTACATGCATACTAGAAAGCAATTTTATTAGGATACATCATTAAAATGTCAGCTAGATAAAATGGTGTATACTATATTAAGGATAAGTATGTATACCTTATATATACCTATCAGAGAAATTGACACAGAGATATAAAAAGTGCATGAATAGATCAAATGTAAAAATTTTTATACAACTTTGTAGGTCATTCCTAATGAAGTTTTTTTTAAAATATATCAGCTAACTAGCAGTTTCGTTTATCTGTATATAGGACATGTACATTTGTCCATGTATATATTTATGTGTTTGTTGAAGTGCATGCTTTTGAGGCAACGTGGGGTGCTACTTTTAGTTTTTTTAACTACATATACATCTTATAGATTTAATGCAAGGTTGTCAAAGGGATTGCTGTATTAAAATCAAAAGAGACAGGCTATCTCTCTCTCCATGCTCTCTCTCTCTCTCGTTACAGGTGAGTGATTATCATCACATGATATTTTACTACTTGACCCGGAAATGAATTCTTGAATGAATTATGTGACGTAGTTTGTTGATGACATTTTAACAAAATATAGATCTCTGATAATTTGATTTATTTTGATGAATAAAAGGTTTATTGCAGTAAAATGAATTCTAAAACCTAAATCACTATGTCAAAATATGTGTATTTATTGAAGCGGATTTGTTCCCCAAATCATTGGCATCGCGGATGAATACGGAACTATTTCTTACCCGGTGGCCGCCATATTGGCATAACGTAAGGACGGTCACAGCACAAGTCACCGGTTATATTTAACTTTTTCGAAGCTCTCTGTAAGTTGGCGTGTTATAAAGAAACGGAGGGGGCATTGGTTACAGAATATGTCACAGCTGCTTCCCATTAGGTTTCAGGAGCATTTGCAGGTGCGTATAATTCAATAATGCATTACTCATCTTTGGCGACACGTTACAGAAATCCCAAACACGCCCCTCGTTTTTGCATTCTTAAACAGGTGTTTACGTATTTTAATATGGATGTCACTTAGTCTTTATTGATTATCGAATGTTTTTTCAAGTATCTGCCCCTTTCAATTTTTGATTGCTGGTATTGATTCAATCACCGCGTAAGTTATGTACCGTAGAAAGGGGGTGGAACTTGCAGACCGGAAGCTGATATTGGTATTTACAAATGCAGCACCTGGCTATTTTATTCTTCTGTCTGTTCATTGGTTTCAGAATATATTAAATCCCTTTTATCTCAACCTTTCAATGGCTCAGTGTTTGGATTCCTGAATTTCGGTTGTTTTCCCAAAATAGATGTGTCTCTGTACTTCTTTACTGTAGTCCAAGACAGCAATAAACATGATCAATAACACACAATATTTAGTCAGTTGATGCCCACAGGCTCTCTGACATACATGTTTGTTGTAGTTAGCTCTTCCTTTTGTAGCAAATAAAAAAGATATTTTTATTTACATGGTGTGGATGTCCTAGATGTTTTCCCTTAATCTGCAATTAACAAGAGATAGTGCTTTGTATTTGTATACAATGCATTAAGACATGATTGATGGAGAAGAATAGTGAAAGGAGAAAATCCTTTTTCAGAAAAACAAAATTAATACAAAGAAAATCATAAAGGTGTATTATCATCCACATCAGTGTAGACTTTGATAATATTTTATCTTTATAGTAATATAGAAAGAGATAACAGAAATGATTTTCTGATTTCTTCCTTTTAGACTGCTATAAACACATTAAATGCTATTTTCTTCACAATAGATTCCAGACCTTTTAATTATGAGGTTTTGAAAAATAAGTTCCATAACTTGTGTGATGTAGTTACCAGTAAGCCTTGTGCCTAATATTGACAATTTAATTGATTAATGAATTAGAGTTTGAAAATACTGGTTACTAACTTGCAGACGTTATGGAATCTATTTTCTTTTTACCTACCTACCTAGTCCTTGTTATGCCCGTGGGCACATAGGGTAAGGACTAGATTTCTCCACTTCTCTCTATCTTTAGCATTTCTTTCTAGTTCTCCCCACATTAGCTTGTGGTCCCTCATTTCTTTTTCAACAGTCGTTAGCCTTTGGCCGACCAGGTTTCCTCTTCCCTTTTGGTGTCCATCTAAGGGCTACTTTAGTGATGTTGTTGGCTGGCTTCCTTAACACATGCCCTATCCATCGCCATCTCCGTTTAGTCAACATATTTTCTCTTTACCAAGACTTAAAAACAGGCCTGTCACAAAAAGCATTCTCACCTACCTGCCAACCCAATATTTTCAGACCAAGGAGGGAGCTGGCAATGAAACATTACTTTAAACTTGAACTTAAGATTTGAATATAGCATAAAGTGACATCATAAAAATTCAGTCAAAGATGCTTGTATTTTTAGAATAAGTAATTGGAAAAATAATAATCAATATTTGGTAAGCTGTATGTCAGTGTTATGCAGAGCATTTGTGTCAGATTTATGTAGATCATTTATTGATTAACAGTATGTCTGGCATTTACAAAGTTAGGGAACCCATTCTCGTTGAACATGGCATATGAAGTATATTGTGTCTTTTTTTTTTCAATTCAAATATTTTACATCTTGTAATTTTTCTGAAATTTATATTGGAGTTTTTACAATAATATATCTCTTTGTAGCTCCAAAATGTTGGAATCAATGCTGCAAATATTGGGTTTAGTACCCTTACAATGGAGTCGGACAAGTACATCTGTGTCCGAGAGAAGGTTGGTGATACTGCCCAGGTGATCATCATTGACATGAATGACACTGCCAACCCAATTCGCAGGCCAATCTCTGCTGATTCAGCCATCATGAATCCTACAAGCAAAGTTATTGCATTGAAAGGTAATGAAGCAGTTCATGATGCATTCCAATGAGATAAGTGAAAGAGAATTTTTTAGCTGAACAAAATGAACTTGTAATTGTGTACACATCTGTAATGCTGTATTCTCTTAACAGCTGGGAAGACTCTGCAGATTTTCAATATTGAGATGAAAAGTAAAATGAAATCTCACACAATGACAGAAGAAGTGATATTCTGGAAGTGGATTTCGGTCAACACTGTAGCTCTTGTCACAGAAGCATGTGTTTACCACTGGAGCATGGAAGGTAAGGGTTTAGATGGTCCAAATTTTTATGTGTAACAATATAATATTTTACTTGGTGTCACTGCTCAATTGACAAGTTTCCTATGAATTCTACTTAAGGTAAAATTTGTTATTAGGTGACTCCCAACCCCAGAAGATGTTTGATAGACACACCAATTTGGCTGGATGTCAGATTATAAACTACAGAACTGATGCGGCCCAGAAATGGCTTCTTGTGATTGGAATTTCTGCCCAGGTATGCAGAAAGTTTGGTACATAATGCATATCTGCTTATCATGCATGCATTTTATTTTATCTTGGCATTTGCATAATGAGCTACAAGTAATTTACAAAAGTATATTTTCTGAATGCTTACTGATAAAGCAGTGTATAATTTGCTTTACTTTGCCAGGCTTACAAACTAATTTTTTAATAAAAAAGGTAAATATGTAGACATTTGTGAAATGTAATTAACATTACTTATGCGAAGTTGTGAAATAGTGTCTAGAAATTTATTTCTTTTCATGTAGAAAATCTTTACATATTTTAAAAACCCTATTTCAGAAATACATGTACTTTCATATTATGTGTGTCTCCACAAGCCTCAACTCTCAAGACAGTCATACAAAGTGTCAATATTGGTTGGTGTAGGAATTAAGCTAGGGGTTTGTGGTTTGTTGTCAGGGGCTTGTGTCTGCATCCTTAACTCTTACTTCTCTCAAATTTCAGACTGGGGCCGAAGGAGGAGTAAGTATAATCACAGTATTCTCCTCCCTCAGTTACATTGTATTGCCCCCTTAAAGTGCCCCAATGGGCAAATATACTCACTTAAAAATGAGATAAGAGCCCATATGCATGATCTTAAAACAAAATTTGATGAAGCAGGTAATGTAGTTGTCTGGTGGTGCTGCATGAGGTATATCACATGCCATTTTCAGTTCAGACTTCAAAATAGAAGATAACTTTGTGTAGCTCTGATAGATTTAGGGTCTGTATTAAGGTGGGTAGAAATCATGTAAAATGTACACGTGCTTGTGAATCTGTGTCAGTAACTAGTCATTGCTTACTTTTAGATGAGTGCAGATGCAGTAAGTATTGCCACCTAATCCCGTTTCCAAATTTTCCAACAAGTATATATAAGAGCCCATGGGATTTCCTTACTTCACGCCCAACAAACCCAAGCAATTAGAGTAGCAGAACACTGCCTAACCTTGAAATACACAAATAATTATAATGTTTTATTTTTTAACAGCAAAACCGAGTTGTGGGGGCCATGCAGTTGTACTCTGTGGAGAGGAAGATCAGCCAGCCAATAGAAGGCCATGCTGCAGCATTCTCTCAGTTCAAAATGGAAGGTAATCCCAACCCATCCACACTCTTCGCTTTTGCTGTAAGAGGAGCCCAGGGAGGAAAGGTGAGGTTCATTCAATTGGTGAAGATATAGTATAATGTTTGATGTCAGTAGAATATGACAGATTTATAAAAGCTTTGTGTCTTGTATGGTTGTTTGCTGTACATTGGCTAATAAAATGGAATATTTTACAGCTACATATCATAGAAGTTGGTCAGCCACCCCAAGGAAATCAGCCATTTGCCAAAAAAGCTGTAGATGTGTTCTTCCCACCAGAGGCACAGAATGACTTTCCAGTAGCAATGCAGGTAGGTTTTAGATACATTATATTGTTGAAAACGTATTTATCATCATAATCATAGCTATCATGAGCAATATTTATGTGTAAATAAATTAGAATACAATATTTTGATTAAAACCTTGTATGATGACTTTAAACTTTGTATTGTAAGTGATTGGAGAGGACGTAAATCTTGTCTCATTCAATAAGCAGATCTATTGGGCAAGATTTCATTATATTAAATGATAAATGTAGTTTTTGCATGTTTTTTAAGTCAAATTAAAATTTGGAGGAAAAGAAGACCCTAACAATACAAGAATTGTTTTAATTTTCAATTTCAGATGAGTCAAAAACATGGTGTAGCATTCCTTATTACAAAGTATGGATACGTTCATCTGTACGACATTGAGACTGGTACCTGTATCTATATGAACAGAATCAGTGGAGACACAATATTTGTTACAGCACCGCATGAAGCAACATCTGGAATTATTGGTGTCAACAGAAAAGGACAGGTGATTTTAGATTTATTGCACTGTTCTACAGTAGTTTTGAATGCTTATTTTGACATCTACAATTAAAGCCTCTAATGATACTGAATCTTTGCTAAGGAATTTATTGACTTGTGCTGTACAGGTTCTGTCAGTTAGTGTAGAAGAAGACAACATTGTGCAGTACGTGTCCAATAACCTCCAGAACCCAGACCTGGCCCTGAAGATCGCCTCCAGGGCTAACTTACCCGGAGCTGAGGACCTGTTTGTGAGGAAGTTCAACAACCTGTTCCAGAGCGGAAACTACCAAGAGGCTGCTAAAGTGGCAGCAAGTGCTCCAAAGGTAAGAAAGTCAAACCTGCAGCATGAAGTGTGTTAAATATATAATAAAGAGATGATGTGGAATGTGTACGAGTGTGAAGTTATTACAGGTAGGCTTTAATTATCCAGTCACAAAAACCAAACATGGGTGGCAGTATACCATATATATTTTGAACAAAATCCTGCATGTGTTGTGTTGTTAGGCTTTGCTCATATTTACATTCCATTTTGGATGTTAATAGTCTGTGCCTATTTCAGGGTATTTTGAGGACACCCCAGACCATTCAGAGATTCCAGCAGGTTGCAGCACAGCCTGGCCAGAGCTCTCCACTGCTGCAGTACTTTGGTATTCTGCTGGACAAGGGGCAGCTGAACAAATACGAGACACTGGAGTTGTGTCGCCCGGTTCTACAACAGGGTCGCAAACAGCTGCTAGAAAAATGGCTAAAAGAAGATAAGGTGAGAATGCATTTAAATGGAACTGGAGTCTCTTAGTCTCTGATGTTAATTGATGAACATATTTTATATACGTGTATTTTAGGGATTTTTTTTTTTTTAATGTGCATACATACTTACATGTGTACATACATACATGTAATGCAAGTGATATGGAAATGTAAATAAATTTTAATCATATAATTTATACATTTTTCAGTTGGAATGCAGTGAAGAGTTAGGAGACCTAGTCAAAACCGTGGATCAGAACTTGGCACTGTCTGTGTATCTTAGGGCAAATGTTCCAGCTAAGGTAATTCTGGGTGACTGTTTTAAATAGAATATGGCACATTTCTCGAGTTTTTTGTGTGTCATCAGGCCAAAAAAAATTGTGTTTCTGGTAACATGTCCCTCAAAATTAGGGTAGGTAGGTAGGCAATTACTTTTTTTTTACTTGACTTTTTACTTTAACTTAACATTATAGTTGACTGTTTTTTAGGTAAATTGGATTTTAAATTATATTAACAAATAATATTTTGTTTTTTAGACCTAGATAGCAGAACCAATTGCAAGAGATTGATTTACAGAAAGAGACATTTGAATTTTAATCACAATTTAATAATGAAATTTTGCCACGTTTAACCAAAAAAGTTTAGTTAAAAATATAAGATTAATACCCATTTCTTTTAAGGACGATAATGTCAGAGTTCTGTCGATGTTGAATGTAATATCACCCGACATTATATCATTAACTCTTTACCCCTTCATGCCATGATTTGACGCACTGGCCTTATCCTTAGACTAGAGTTTTTGCCTGGCTGCCCCTTGATCCATTTTAGATGAATTGGTGTGTAGTTTAAAACTGAACTAATGGGGTCAAAAAACTTCATTTATGCTATGTATTATATATATCATTGGATTGGTAAAAAACAATTTTAGTGCATGCACTGTTGTAACATTATTTTGATACCGTAAATATTTTGTAATTGGTAAGTATGTTGTGTCATGCTGAAATGTTTTAACTTACATCTTTGTATCTAAATGTTCTTTCGTTTGTTTGTTTTTATATACTTTTTATATACTTTAAAAGAATCTCTTTTAGGTTTTTTTTTCAATTTCATATGCAAATTAAAAAAACCGAATTATTGATCGATTGAATTGCTCATATAGGTAAAAACGAAAGTAGATAAAAATGAAAATAAACAAGATGGATGCCAAGGCATCTAGAAGATTGAGTTCGGAGATTATTAAGCTTTATGAAAGTGAATGTATTTATACAAAATGTTAAAACAGTGAGTAATTAATGTAAAATGACATGTTAGTTAACTTATATTTCAAATAAACCTAAAAATATGTAACATAACACGTATATGATGTACCTAATAATATGTTAGACAGGCATGTTATTTCATCATGTTCATTTCAGACCTCAGAGATGAATTTTAGCTGACTATGCTTATTATCATAATCGGTTATTATAAAGTTTTGGCCTGACAAATAAACTATGATGATAAAGGGCTTGTACAGTAAATTAAATTTTTCAAATCTATTAACATAATTTTGATCAGAATTTTCTTGAAATAATTCAGGTGAAAGCAGGTGTAAATCGCAATATAGATATTTTCAACAGGTAAAACAGCTTTGATAAGCCAAAATTGTCTGTATAAATAATAAAAATTATGTGTGATGATATTAATGATGGTTAAGTTTTTATTTATTATCATTTTTATATGTTTAATTCCTCGGAAATCAATAAATTGTAGTCCTACTTCAATGTCAATCTGGCCAACAAATTTTCAGAATTGTGTGATTAAACTTGATTTCTGAACATATTTGTGTACGGTACTTGAATGATCCATTTCTATTAAAATAATTATTTTCTACACCTTAACATTGATAAATATGTGTAAAATGGAAGGTATCTTTTGAATTTCTGAGAAACAGGTAACAAAATCGGCACTGTGCGGCCCCGAACTTCACAACATTTTCGTATCTTATTTTTAAGTTTATTTTACTCATAGATCATTAAAATTTTCAAAACTTTCAAGAAATAGGTAGTTTATAGCTTGAATTTAATGTAATACACTTTACTGGATGAGAAAGTATTGTGTATTGACTGAGTTATTTGCTCAAAAAACATCGTATGTAGCAGTCCACCATTTTGAATTTTGGTGGGACTTTCCAAGATTCTTTTCAGTTTTGTTTGTTTACACAGGTAAATCACGTGATTCCTGACTGTAGTATGATGCAGTCATCTATTGTTAACCTGCAGGTGGCCACCTGTGCTCTGATAATTTGTAAACAAGTGGTTATTTCAAGTCAAATCAACTGAATAATGAAATACACATGCATCAAAAGTCATCATTAAGGGTTGGGAGCTATGCGTCAAAAGTCATCATTAAGGTGTAAAGGATAGAAAGGTCTAAAGGGAAATAGAGTTAAACCCACGTGCCTCAAACATCGATCCTTTGCTAGCTTCAAAATTATGAATATCTCCATATAAATTTCCCAAAGTCCAGTGCCGAGGAAAGTTATTAATTCGTTAACTTCGGGTGAAGGTGGACATTTCTTGAGCTTAAACCCCATGACAACATGAGGTGGACTTGGGTTTGTGATACCCGCAATGTTGTCTAGTATCTAAACGTAAAATCTTAAATGCTTGAAAAGACGATTTTTATTGATTCAAGCACCTTTTTAACTGCACGTGTTTTGAAGACTAGTTTTAGAAGAAATTTTGGTACGTAATCCAGAATTGCAGTAAAAAGTGCTAGGGTTAGGTCGGTCGGGTTATCAGAAACACACAATTTTTTTTTTGGCCTCATAGGGTATATAATATATATATTTGTTTACGTAAATAGAAGATAAAACAATGTGTCAAACATTAAAAAAACGGAATCATAAGCTCAGGTGTAGAAATAGACTTTAAAAAATGGTTTGAGTTCTTTGTGCATGTATAAGTTCAAAGAAAAATACAATGAAAGACAATTATATTCTGAAAAAAAGTTTCATACAACACACAAAAGATGAATTATATAGAATCTCCTCATCAGTGTAATATATACTTGGTATGTTTATACAAAAAGTACTGTAAATCACTTTTTATTTGCGAGAACTTTATTTTCACGTAATTATGCGAAACAGTGTGCTCTCAAAAATTTAATTCTCATGTATAATTGCATTCCTTAAGATTATATAGAGCAATAACCACCATTCATGAAGATTTTGTTTCGCCAATCAAGAGTCAATGACTATCTTGGGAATAAAAGGTGTCGCGAAAATTAAGTGATTTACTGTATGCAAAAAGCCGAAAAGGTGTACATGCACATGTATTAAATTATTTAAGATCTGTTCAAATTTTTTTTGCTTTGTACTTGTAGGTTATTCAATGTTTTGCTGAGACAGGCCAATTTCAGAAAATAGTGATGTATTCAAAGAAAGTGAACTACACGCCGGACTACATCTTCTTGCTAAGGAGTCTTATGAGGATCAACCCAGAACAAGCCCTGCAGTTTGCACAGATGTTGGTGGAAGATGATGAACCTCTGGCAGATTTGAACCAGATTGTTGATGTGTTCATGGAGATGAACTTGATTCAGCAGTGTACGTCTTTCCTGCTGGATGCTTTGAAGAATAACAGACCATCAGAAGGTCCTCTACAAACCAGGCTGTTGGAAATGAACCTCATGTCTGCTCCCCAGGTAAAGTTTATTATGCCAGTCACATCTTTCCCAGCCCATGTAACTGTGAATGAGATATTGTTCTGTGTGTGATATCAACAGATTTATTAGTAACATTAACATGTTCTCTTTACAGGTGGCTGATGCTATCCTTGGAAATCAAATGTTCACACACTACGATAGAGCACACATTGCCCAGCTCTGTGAAAAAGCTGGTCTTCTACAAAGGGTATGCTGTTCATTTTCATATAACTCGATTAAATTAAACTTTCTGTCTTTGAATTTTGATTATTCATATTTTTGTGTTGGTAAATGTTTCCGTATTTAATTATAGGCATTAGAACACTACACAGATCTCTATGACATCAAAAGAGCTGTTGTGCACACTCATCTCCTTAGCCCTGAAGTAAGAACTACAATTCTACAGTAGTTTATTTTTTACACAGGTATGATCAAAATTATAACTCACCATTCTGTGTCCAGGTCGACAGTTGAATTTGATATTTTTTTTTCAGTGGTTGGTAAACTACTTTGGTTCCCTCTCCGTCGAGGATTCTTTAGAGTGTCTAAAAGCAATGCTTCAGGCCAACATCAGACAAAACCTACAAGTGTGTGTACAGATTGCCTCCAAATATCACGAACAGCTAGGAACTAACAACCTTATTGAAATATTTGAGTCATTCAAGAGTTTTGAAGGTACATTTACACATTTTAATGCAAAGTACATTATTATCCCCTCGCGCAACTAGTTGCGGAGGGGATATAGCATCGCGAATGTGCGTATGTACGTGTGTGTGTTAGTGTGTTCGTTACCTTGTGGGCAAGATTGACAGAGAACTTTGCATTAACAACTCTCAGCGTTTACATACTTGTGTGGCAGTATAAAAGGACGAAGCCTATTAATTTTCAAGTCCATTGATGAATTATTTCTTGAATATCTTGTTTTTAAAACCCTTACATTTTATGTACGAGTTGACAATAATCATTTGTGGGCAAGATTGACAGAGAACCTTTGCATTAACAACTCTCAGCGTTTACATACTTGTGTGGCAGTATAAAAGGAAGAAGCCTATTAATTTTCAAGTCCAGTGATAAATTATTTCTTCAGATATCGCGTTTTTACTGCCTCGAAACCCTGACATTTTATGTACGAGTTGACAATAACCTTTTCCGCTAGGGAACCAGTTTAAAATCCGTGTCGAGTCTGTGGAAACCAGATTAAAAGAATTTGATGAACGTCGCGGTTCCATTACCAAATTCTAACAGGTGTCTGGGAATTTGGGGTGCACGTTAAATTAAAAGGGGGGGCTAACCCAACAAAAAAGGTAAATCCCAATTTTCAATGCATAGAAATTGTCTATCCCCACCAGCGGTTCCGACGCCTATGCCACAAGTTTAAATAAACTCTCGATGTACATTGTTATTTTTCATTATGAAAAAAATGAATATTGCCTGGAACTGTGAAATATACTAATTAGGTAGGTAAATAATTAACATTACTGAAACTTGTACATGTAGCATACGTGATATGTTTCTACTAGGTATAAGGAAAACTGTCCAATTACGTATGCATATTATGCCCCCACCCCTTCCCAATTTAAATGCTATGCAATTTGATTTTTGTTAAAAATAGACACCCCCACCCCCTATAATTTTGTTAAAGAAATAAATAGAGCTGAAAAACAATTAAATACCTTATATTAAACTTTACTACCCAAAATTAGGTATCAATGTTATGCCTCCCCCCCTAACCAAGATGCTTTGCATTTTGTAAAAAAAAAAAATTGGATCAACAACAACGCTCCACTAATTATTTTGTCAAAAGTAAGGGAGTTGATCCTAATGTTGCCGGTTTGAATCCCACTGTGGGACGTGGAGACTGGTCCTTCGAATGAGACCGTGTAAACCAAGGGCCAATGTCCCAATAGATGCTGGTACAAAAAGATCCCTCACTGCTCAATGGCCGTCAGTGCCTATTATAGGAAAAAATGTGCAGCTCTTCACGGGCAAGCCTTCATATGAGCAAAATATTTATTAGAGGGACATTAAAGAAGATTGTACTATCAATCTTTAACATGTTTAACGTCCCTCTAGAGAATTTATCTCTCATGAGATATTGCCATCACTGGTGATGTTCCTGCCGCGAGGGGATGCTCCGCTTAGCGGTGCCCTTGTTTTAGAATGTTCTGCAAACTAATATTTGAGTCATTTAAGGGTTTTGAAGGTACATTTGGATCATTGTTTACAATACCTTATAATTAGAATGTCCTGCAAACTTTGTATCTTAGTTGTTCATGAAACTTGATTTTAAAAAAGTTAACTTCCTATCACAACTAGGAGTATATTAGAGGACATAAAATATAAAGAAGATATTTTGCTATCATATTCAAATTAAGTTATTTGAAGGTTAAAAACAACATTTTCTAACAGGAAGAATGGTTTAATTTTAGGCTTGTTTTACTTCTTGGGATCGATTGTCAACTTTAGTCAGGATGCAGATGTACATTTTAAGTATATTCAGGCTGCTTGTAAAACTGGACAGATCAAGGAAGTGGAGAGAATCTGTCGTGAGAGTAATTGTTACGATCCCGAGCGGGTGAAGAACTTCCTGAAGGAGGCCAAACTGACAGATCAGCTGCCACTGATCATTGTCTGTGACCGATTTGACTTTGTACACGATCTAGTACTCTACCTGTACAGAAACAATCTACAAAAGTACATTGAAATTTACATTCAGAAGGTAAGATTCATCAAATTTATATTGTAAAGACCAAATGATTCAGTATTCAAACTTTTGCTCAGGAAAACAAAATATATTCCCTTCAAAGTGGTAGAAATTAGTTTCAATCAAAATGCATTATGAATCACTGTGGATTTTTCTATAAATCATATTTTAGTATTTCGACCTCATGTAGAAATACAGTAGAAAATCCTAGAGGAACTGTTCCTCAGACAGGCCAGTATTTCTTAATGGTACTGAGCTTTGCTTGTGAACAAACAGATCATAACTAAGAATCATTGACACTGACTATTATATGTACACTGTAACTGATTGTATTGTTTTGTTCTATAGGTGAACCCGGCTCGTCTGCCCGTTGTTATCGGTGGACTGCTGGATGTCGACTGCAGTGAAGATGCCATCAAACAGCTGATCATGGTGGTCAAGGGACAGTTCTCTACAGATGAACTGGTGGAGGAGGTGGAAAAAAGAAACAGGTAAGTGAATGAAGTGACTTCAGAGTTGTGCTTTGAGGGTAGAATCTTCAGTGTATTTGTATTTACGAGAAAAAAAACTTTGTTTGATGTAAATTATTTGTTTAGAGTCATGAATTTTAAAGTAGTAGGAAGTTTTTATTTTGCAAATCAATTATGCAAATATCAGATATGTGCATGATACTTGGATTTTCAATTTGGTCACTAATTTAGGAAATATGAGTTATGATACATTACCATTGTAAGGGTGTCCCTTCTGCAGATTCAGAATAGAAATTTTTTTTTTAATAATTCATGTGTCATTTGAGAAATACCAATAATTCACTTAAAGAAAAGTAGTGTTGCTGTTACATTGATAGAATTGCCCTTGTTATAATATATGTACCTTATTCAGACTGAAGCTTTTGCTGCCCTGGTTGGAAATGAGGGTACATGAGGGAGTACAGGAACCTGCTACCCACAATGCACTAGCCAAAATCTACATTGACAGCAACAACAACCCAGAAAGATTCCTCAAGTAGGTTTGATAAAGCATTTATATCACTTTGTGTATTTACATTTAGTATGATTTATTGTTTCTTGGCATTAAGATATAAAAGATACTAGAATTCATTTGGTTAAAGGAATTAATCCAGCATAACATGATTAGTGGCATAGTAATTCCAACTAAAAGGAACTGTAGCATTGATAGCAAATTTAACAGAAGTTTGCTTAGATTTTGGTAGTTATTATATTTTTAATTGTAACTTTCAATATTGAATCTTTTCTTTCAGGGAGAATCAGTTTTATGATAGTATAGTGGTAGGAAAATACTGTGAAAAGAGAGACCCTCATCTGGCCTGTGTGGCTTATGAGAGAGGACAGTGTGATGAAGAACTCATTCAGGTCAGGATCATTTTAAATACTAGATTCTATTACATAATGTGTGTTTATATTTAGTAAGTACTTTTCTATTCATTATCTCTAAGGTAAATTTTAACATTGTTTTTTTCAGGTTTGCAATGAGAATTCACTGTTCAAGAGTCAGTCACGTTACCTGGTAAAGCGTAGAGACCTTGACCTCTGGGCTAAAGTGCTGAATGAAGACAATGAGTACAGGAGACAGCTGATTGACCAGGTAAGATTCAAGATGGACATAAGGCTCTGCACATTTAGAGGCTACATTCAGTCAGGATTAGTAGGTACTGTACACAGGGCCTGATTATATATTGTTTATCATGTAGGTGGTGCAGACAGCTCTCTCTGAGACTCAGGATCCAGATGACATCTCTGTGACAGTGAAGGCTTTTATGACAGCAGATCTACCCAATGAACTCATCGAGCTGTTAGAGAAGATTGTCCTAGACAACTCCGTATTCAGTGAGCACAGGTGAGAGTCGTAGGAGAAAAGAATTTCTACATATACATGTATAACTGTATGAACAAAAATTTGTGGTTGTTGAAAGAAGTAATCAAGATGTGTTGTGTTTTTATCAGGAACTTGCAGAACTTGCTGATTTTGACAGCCATTAAAGCTGACCGCACACGAGTTATGGAATACATCAATAGACTGGACAATTATGATGCCCCAGACATTGCTAACATTGCCATCACTAATGAACTGTATGAAGAAGCGTTTGCCATCTTCAAGAAGTTTGAAGTCAACACTTCCGCTATCCAGGTAAGCTACATAGCTAAAAAGTCTGAAAACTTAATTCTGTATGAAAGAAAGATCATTTTTAGATACACTAATGTGTTATAAGGAATATTTTGATGATGAATCTTTTCATTACAGGTGCTGATAGACAATGTGAAGAATTTGGACCGTGCTTATGAATTTGCTGAACGCTGCAATGACCCAGCAGTGTGGAGCCAGTTAGGACGTGCTCAGTTGAATGAAAACATGGTGAAGGAAGCCATTGATTCATTTATCAAGGCTGATGACCCATCTCAGTACATGGAAGTTGTCAATGTAGCATCCAGCAACAGTAAGTTGTCAGGTTTCAAGTACTGAGTATATTTCATGTTCGATATAGCAGTCATAACCAATTTCTAATTAAATGGCAGATTACATGTATAAGAAAATTAGGAAATAACATTTCATTCACCTATTTCTTTTGATTGCAGATAGCTGGGAAGACTTGGTTAAATTCTTACAAATGGCAAGAAAGAAAGCAAGGGAAACATTTATAGAAACAGAATTAGTCTTTGCTTATGCCAAGACCAACAGATTAGCAGACTTGGAAGAGTTTATCTCTGGTCCAAACCACGCCAACATTACACAGGTAATCAACAAATATTGTTTGAAAAATCGTTTTCTTTTATGGGAAAAAAAGCTTTGTGGAAAAAAAAAAGAGAAAAATTAATAATGTAAATTTTTAAATGCATAAATATCATTTATTAGGTGGCAGATAGATGCTTTGACAACAAAATGTATGAGGCTGCCAAACTTCTGTACAACAATGTGTCTAACTATGCCCGCTTGGCCATCACCCTGGTCCACCTGGGAGAGTATCAGGGCGCTGTTGATGGAGCAAGAAAAGCCAACAGCACCAAGACCTGGAAAGAAGTAAGTAAAAAGACAGACAGATGACTGGTTTTCCTGAGAAGGAAATCAAGCACTCAAATTTTCTAACTAATGGAATGACATAAAATATAAAAAAGGGTTGTGAATTCAGGATTTTTCTCCTTTGATGTATGATTACTGAATTTAATTCAATCAATTAATAATAATGAATATTGTACTGACAGGTTTGCTTTGCCTGTGTGAACAATGAAGAGTTCCGACTGGCTCAGATGTGTGGTCTTCACATTGTTGTACATGCTGACGAGTTAGAGGAATTAATTAATTACTACCAGGATAGAGGCTACTTCGAGGAGTTAATCTCCCTACTAGAGGCAGCATTAGGCAAGTATCATGTACTGTACAGTCTTTGGACAATGATCCAATTTTTTGATAAGTAGGCTTTAATGGTGAAAGCTGTAAGAATATTAAGGCTGGAAACAAGCATTAAAATTTCATATAATTTATGATATTTTGTCATTTTACAGGTTTAGAAAGAGCCCATATGGGTATGTTCACAGAATTAGCTATTTTATACTCAAAATTCAAACCAGAGAAGATGAGAGAGCATTTAGAACTGTTCTGGTCTAGAGTTAACATTCCAAAGGTAAGTTTGTCTTCTGTAATTTTTTTCTTTGTATTGATTAAACAAGTTTGACATTTTTATTACTGGAGCATTTCCTAGAAATAAATATCTGATGTTACTTTCAGGTATTAAGAGCAGCCGAACAAGCTCACTTGTGGCCGGAGTTAGTCTTCTTGTATGATAAGTATGAGGAGTATGATAATGCCATCATTGCTATGATGAACCACCCAACGGAAGCCTGGAAGGAAAGTCAGTTCAAGGATATCATCACAAAAGTGGCCAACATTGAGCTTTACTACAAAGCCATTCAGTTCTACCTGGACTTTAAGCCTTTACTTCTTAATGACTTGCTTATGGTCTTGACCCCGCGTCTTGACCACACAAGAGCTGTTAATTTCTTCATCAAAGTCAAACAAATTTCCCTGGTGAAGCCATACCTCCGCAGTGTACAGAAGAACAACAACAAGGCAATCAACGAGGCCCTGAACAATCTCCTCATCGAGGAGGAGGATTACCAAGGCCTCCAGGCCTCCATCGATGGCTACGAGAACTTCGATAACATCATGCTGGCCCAGAGACTGGAGAAACACGAACTTATCGAGTTCAGAAGGATCGCAGCCTACCTATACAAAGGGAATAACAGATGGAAACAATCTGTGGATTTATGCAAGAAGGACAAACTTTTCAAGGTAAAGTTAACGAATATCATCATCAATATGGAGATGTACAGTAAATCTGGAATTTGTATCTAAACTTCTTAAATGAAGGGCAGGGAGAAAGATCAAATACAGGGTAGTAGCTTGATGAGGACAGAATACAGTAATTGTTTCTCCCATTTTGTAACTATGTTTGATTTGGTATTGCAGGATGCCATGTGTTACGCCAGTGAGTCGAGGGACACTGCAATAGCTGAGGACTTGATTACCTGGTTCCTGGAGAATCAGTATCATGAATGCTTCGCTGCCTGTCTATTCCAGTGTTACGATCTCCTGCGACCGGATGTTATACTAGAATTGGCATGGAGGCATAACATCATGGACTTTGCCATGCCCTACATGATTCAGGTTGTGAGGGAGTACATTTCCAAGGTAATTAAAATACATCTGTTTTGAATAAAAATTCACCACAAAGAGGGTAAGCACAATAGAATTGACTTTTCATTATATTTTGCTGTAAAGTGAAGAGAGAAATGTATTAAACTTTTTGATTTCTTTACACAGGTTGATAAGCTGGAACAAGCAGAAAATGTCCGCAGTGAGGAGGAACAGAAAGCAGAAGAAAGGCCTATTGTCTTTGGTAAAGATATTTCAATATGATTCATTTAGTCCGTGACTTTTCATTAACCTTTAAACATTGTAAAGGAAACTCAAGTTACTCAACACCAACATTTATTATATTTTACTTTATTTTATTGCAGCGGAGCCTCAACTAATGTTGACTGCTGGACCTTCACAAATGATGCCCCCACCTCAGGCCCCATCACCCCAGCCCCCGTATGGGGGCCCAGCCTACCCGGGGATGGGCACCTATGGCTATAGCATGTAACCGTGAACAAACTTCATAGTCATACCAAGTTTTCCAGCATCAATCATGGTGTATATAGTGAACAAGTGATATCATTGACATTGATATGGAAGATTCAAAAGTTTGCCAGTGATGTGTTATGATGCAGTAGTTTGTAGAAGCTGTACAACAGGTCCAATTTATGTCGAGTGCAATATTCTATCTATGTTAGAGTAAAAAGTGACAAAATTAGCCAATCAGTAAATGAAATTCTGTTTAGTATCCTCTTATGATTTAATTAAAACGAATAATTCTTAAGTGTTAGAGGCAAAATTTTTCTATATATATTAGCGTTGGCAGATTTTTGAAGAATCCTGATATAAATCATTATTTCCAAGGGACCTGCAAAATCTTGTATCATTTTATGAGATGTTAATTTTTTTCTGTGATTTTAAGTTTAAAAGATAGTTGTATCTTTTCTTTTTCAAATATGTATATATTCATTGATATAAAGTGCTTCACATGAAAGTTGATGCAGTGTTAAAGTCAATTGTTAAGTTTTATGTTTTTTTTTCTATCAACTGATTTCATCTATTTAAGCCTGATTTTTCCACCATTTGTTACATAAATGATGGCTAATGTTTTTATTGTGTGAAAATTTTGCACTTTTGAAACTTCATTTTGACATCTGATTTTAAGAAGAATTGAATTTTTTTTGTGAATAATCAATTATTTAAATGAGCTTTATTATAAAGCATGAGAATTATTTATTTATAGGTATTTAAAAAATTATATCACTAGAGTAGCTTTGAATCGTTGCACATACTCAAAATTGTAACATTGAAAGGAGTTTATGATAGTTTATGACGTTCCATAGCCACTTTATTGTGCATTAATTTCAGTGTTGTATAAATGGACGATTGTAGAACTTGAATATGTGTGTTGTTGGTTTACACAATCTGCTACTAAGGATCAGCTCTTTATTATCAAGCTAGAAGCAATGATCATTCATCTCTATCGTTGTCTACTTCTTTGGTCTAGATTGTTATCCAGTGGTGTGATAACATTGGATTTTAGCTATAATAGTAACGTACAAGTGTAATAAAGAACAAGAATAAACATCTATAGACTAAAAACACTGGTCATTGTTTATACAAAGGGAGGTTAGGCCGGTTTGCACATTTGTAGAAGAGTTATCTCTCTTTTTTCACCGTATTGTCAACGTAAACAGCTGACGACGATGATCGGAAGCAACATCCCGGCTGTCGATGACCCATCATGGTATAATCTGAAGTTAAGGATCCGTGTGATCTATGACACCATTAGCAGCATAAGAACATGTTATAATGGCACCATGCAGGGTAATCTCCGTGACTCACTTCCTCTTGATAAGGAACTGATTCACTTTCTTTGTTCTCAAAACAGGATCAGGAAAATGAATAACCTGCATTTGGTGCACTATTTTTATTTACTGTGTCACCTGACATCTGTCTTGGATACTAATCATTACCTTCATTATTTATAATTGTTCATTTTTGGTATGTTTGCATAATGTAACTGTAAGATATAATAAAAAACGGAATTCAGAAAAGAAAGATGTAGAACGTGTTTCGGTGAGTTTGAGCTTCCGTTGTTGGAAAAATGAAAAGATAGTAAAGTTCCATTGCTGTTCTATCTTTGGTACAAAAACTGAGCTGTATTTGTAAGAATAAGTAAGTTTGGTTAAAATGGGCTCAAGAGTTTTGAAAATTATGAAACTGAGTAGAAATCATATACTAGTAATCAATATGTTTGGGTTTCAGATAGATTTTCTGTTGACTCTAATTTTCCCAAGTAAAATTGCATTTCGAATCAAAGAAAAGGAGCAAGCATGACATATCTATGAACTTTTTGGAAAAAAAAAAGATGTTCTTGTACTTTGTACATACGTAAATTGCGTCACTGATATTACATTAAAATAGGAAATAAACTCGGTTCGCAGAAAGGTAGCAAAATACTGGTAGTTATGAATTTAAAAAAGTTAAAAACAGAGAACAATCTTGTCGTTGGCAGATTAAACGGACCGGGGGGGGGGGGGGGGGGGGGGGGGGGGGGGGGGGGGGGGGGGGGCTTGTACAAAACACGGGGTCTTTATTAATTGTTCCTAAAAAGTGAGAAAGACTACTTTGTCTTACTGTAGTAAACATCTCATTATCACAGTAAGATGTTACGATTATCGTACAATTTTCTGACACTGAGTAAAGGGTTGTTCGCGCGGTGCGCGCAGTTACCTGTAAACCCAAAAGCTTAATGGTAATGAATATTCATAAGTTGGCGGTATATATACATTGTTACTATCCGCATCTTTGGTAGTACTTAGAACTAACTAGTGAAAAATTAAACATTAAATGAAAATATTTATTTACGGGTGATTCATTCGTTCTGGTTGGTGGCGGTTATTTTGAGAGTTTCCCCTTAGCTAGTGGAACACAATTGCAAGAGTGGAGTAAATGAACCTCTAGCGCGTGGCAGTGTGTACAAGACATCGCGCGAACCAGCAGCGCTTTGCGGGAGGAGGCGAAGAGCAAGGATAAAGGCCTTCTACAACACACAAAGTGCACAGTTTTACTTTTGGAAAAAATAAGAAATATTCTTTGAAAAGACACCAAAATGGTTGAAAAAAGTGCACTTTTGTTGGTTGGATTTGCTGTGTGCGTGGTGTATTTCAGTGGGCCTGTTTCAGCTTTTAGGACTTGTGCCGAGGCCCGTTATTGCTGCCCGGGCCGAAATAACACATGCTTTGCTCATGGACCCCGAATGGATAACGATAATAAGCAAAAGAGATGTTTCTGTGACCAGGAATGTGCTACTATGGGGGATTGCTGCATCGATTACACACAAACATGCACAGGTAATTTCTCACCAAAAATATGTTGCCTAGCAACTCCTAAAATTTTATCTACATGTGTGCTTGTAAGATAAAAGCAATTCTTAGATTAGCATTAAGATTAACGTGAGTCGGTCAGGTCGTTTTTGAACAAGAGTGGTACCAGTTTCCCTCTTTTCAATGAATTTAATTATTTAGAAATTTAAACCCAAAATTAACTATTTTTCCGGGGGGCGATTGAGGTCGTCAGTAGATTACCTCACAATAAGTTCTGTGATTTAGAGGTTTATTATTGAGATATCCTGCCCCCGGGCTGTGTGTTTAGTTAGTCTAAGTCCAGGCTCTAAGCTAATCACGGAGGCTGGTCCGAGATGTCACTGTTCTGATCACCCAATACACTGAATACAGGGCTTTGTGTTCAGTGCTCATAGCTAAGGAAATGATTAGCAAGCAGGTTCAGAATATTCACACTAGTGGTTCTGTATGGATAGAGATTTAACGTACTCAGGTATAAACTTGGACCCTTTAAAATATCCTAGGTCTCGCTTAATCACAGATTTACATATGTTCTGAATCTATTTTACTTTTCTCCCTGAACACCCAGAAAATTGGGACATCTCGATATTCCAAAAGGAGGGATTTGGGAAATGTGGAATTGGTCAACAATTTATGGTTGTCATTTATCTGTCCTGGCTTTGAACTGGGTACTTTGTCAACATCATAAAATTTTTGTTTTAGTTCAAATACAAAGTGAAGAGGCAATTATCATACCTGGGTGACATTGGGAACAAAAAGCCTACATATACACTGATACTGCAGAGTTGTTAGTTCTAATTTCCAAATCAACTGTAAGACTTTGCAAACATTTTTGCTTCCTGAGTTTGTTTACATTGGACAATTTTTTCACAAAGTGCCAGACATGTTACCTAACATTGAAATAGCACACACAGCACTGACAGAGGCATTTAACCTGTTCTATAATAAGGACTTTGAGATATTTCATTCTTTTAGCTAATGGAACTCCCTGATCATTACAAAATTTTCTAGTGCATTTCCCTTTTTCTTACATTCTTGTTAAAGTTGATCTAAGCGATCACTAATTTGTTCTGACAGAATAAAGGAGAGCAGGGAATTCATTGAGAATTTCCTGATTGATGGAGATCGTAACATAATTTAGCTGAGGGGTGCTAGGCATGTATAATGACCCTGATTTGTGGAGGATCATTGACCCCATCTGATGCTGATGAAACCATCAAAACCCTGATCAGCAGCCTAACTCACCATGGAATGTCTCAAAGGTGGAAATCTTCTGACCAGTTTCCACAGAACTAGGTCATGTCTGGGTAGAGGTTTTTATTGCCACTTGTTTTTTAAGAGGGGAGATACCAGTAGCTGGAAAGAGAACAGAACCAAGAAACATGCAGCTGTCATGTTTTTTGATTTGAGTGTAAAGTTCTGGTGCTCAAGTAGGTTAGAATGTTTATATTAACTTGATTTTTCTGCTTCGATAAGAAAAGTTTTAGATGCATTTGAATTTCGGTGTAATAGCTATGGTCACAATTGATAAAATAGTTACCCCCAAAACTTCAAAAATTTAAATAAATACCCGGTAATTGAAATGATACAGCATGAAGACAGATTGCTGAAGTGGAGTGTAAATGATGCACATTCAAGTTAATTATTTGACATCCCCCCTGACCTATTGACGGTAATGGTGGTAGTTGTATGGGGATAAGTACCTATCACTGGGGTAAGGAATATATTTACTGGGTTAGATCAGGTGACTCTTTAATTATTACCCATGATTCTGGACCAGTAAGCAAGGGTAAATCCTGTGATCTTCAGCCATATTAACTTACACCCATTCCACCCAGTAGGACAGGTTTAAAGCTTCCTTATATAAGAGCTTTTATGGTGATGTTATTTTGTATGGCCAGGATTGATTGTCAAGTAATTGCTTTTTAATAACATACATTGTCTCTGAGCTGTGTATATTTTTTCAGTCTTTATGTGAAACATATTTTTCCCTTCATTGCCTTCAAAATTATTACCCCGAGTAAGAATGCACCATTATAGTGAATTGGTCAAATGTGTTTTTTATGGCATGTTATAAATTTCTAAATATGGTGCTTTTAAGTTCAAGTCTGGGCAAAAAAGATTAATATATGAATTCTGATTTGAGCCATCTTTTCATGAAAAATGTGACATCCACCTGAATACCCCAAGCCTTTAAAAGAAAGAATGGTCAAGGCCCATACAAGAAAGAGACTTATATGACCAAGCTATGGAATCTAACAGAATCAGGTGGCTTGTAATTTGAATATACTTTTAATTTTATGTTAATATGCTGTCAGATATTTATTCTAAGTGTGATGAATGACCTGACCAGAGAACTTTATCAATTGAATTTTTATTTCAAGTATCACCTGAATCTGATAAATGCAGAATATGTGGACAGATAAAAGTAAAGGGCTAAATGATGCCCCTTGGCTAACCTAATGATAGGCCTCAAAATGATAGCCATCTCTGGAGATGGTGACACCCTGTGTAAAGAATCACATATTAGGCAAATTGATTTTATAGCCCTGGACTGGCTGTCTGGTCAAAACACCTTTATTTTTTTGACATTTAAGGCTAAAATGGTGTATAGTTTAATTGTTAGCTGTTTGCAAATGTTTTGCTTTTGCCACTCTCTGTCACTGCCAGTTTATAAAGAATCTAAATGGATTCTTAAAGAACCAACACAAAAAAGATGAGTCAATCTACATTCATGAATAGAAGGTGGGAGAATACAATTGACTTTTTAGACAGACCTCTTAAAATGTGTTTGCATGGTCATCAGCACATACTTAAGCTGGGTCATTAAGCATTTCTTTCTTAAACACATATGAAATACCAAAGATGTCAACATAGCAAATTCTTTCCCAAATATTTCACATCAATAATCTCTTTGTGTTGATGACTTGAAGAATTTTGCTTGAAACAGGAGAGGTTTATGTAGAAGTGAAAGTTCTCATAAATTATTTAAAATTTTGAATCATTTAACAGTTGACTTTTGTATTTTTGAGCAGAAATCCCAATTTATAACATCTTGTTGTTCTGCACCTGCTCATTAGGAGAGACTAATTACCCAACAGAACCCCTTCTGTAGCTTCCCCCAAACACCAGAAGATGGCGTGTTTGACATAAATTCTATAACCACGGTGATCTGCTATAAATCAGAAGCTCCTTTGCACCTGTACATTTCTGCAATAATCTGCGTCATTGAGAGTCTGACAAGCGATAAAGGCCAAAGATTGATGGAAATTAAAGCCTTGTGCCTCCTAGCTGCTATTCTGTAGGAATATAGGATGTTAGGCCTGCTACAAAGAAATAGATGCACTACAAGATAGTACAATAACTCAAGTGGCCATACAAAATATTATAAACTTTATTTCTTCCTTGAAAGAAAGGTGTTGATTCTTACAAACATGTTACAATAACACTTCGTCTCTTTCTATTATCTTCACCTTGGGCACTTCCAGGTTTATTATAGTGGCTTACCAAAAGGAAGGTGCCCCCAGATTTAGGGACTTCTGGCTGATTAGACACCTCTGTCCTTGGGTTTTGTATTGGCTCTCTCTTCAGTGGAGATTTTGAATTATTAAGGTTCTATGAGATAGGATTTTACGTTTGACTGGGCTGTATGCAGACACAACTCAGTGTTGTAAGATGTTATGTTTGTCAATTTGTTTGATAAATGATGAGAAAGAATTAAGTATGTCTGCTTGTCAGTATAAAGATTAATGAAGCATGTTGAGATGAGGTTTTTCAACATGGATTAAATTAGGATAAGTACGATTTTTTTTATCTCAGGTCTGTGTTTCCCCACTGGTTTGTGTTGATAACATGGGAGGGACGCTTTGATCACTGTTGTCATAAAAATCTTCAACATAATCTGTAACAGTTTTCTGTCTCTGGACAAGAAATACGTGATGACAGGCAAAAATCAATGCACTTTTGAAAAAAAAAATCAGTGATAGGTCACCATAATCTGCCCCGCATAATAAAGAGAATGTTAAGCATCTTAAGACTGAGAAAATATTGTAAAGAAGAAATTAATAGTTTACTGAATTTAAATTACGAGAAGAAAAAATCAATCCAAAATGTTGTTTTTGTCCAGCTGTGAGTGGTAATGAATTAAGTACTAATAGAGTGGACTTCATGGGATTAGGTGATGGGTTTAACAGAGTATACTGTCCTGTAGGTCAGAAGACTGACCAGGCTATTGTGTATGAGGACTAGGTTATGATAATATTGACACAGTATGTGTAAAAACAGCAGGCTCTTGTTAAGTCCTTGTTTAGCAAAATCATGAGTTTCCTTTAAACTGTCATGACTTAATCGTTTTGTCTTCTTACCTAAACACACCTGGCCATACAGAGGTTTATCTTAATGTCTTCTGTCCTCATTCAGACCATAATACTTAGTTATACCTGTCAAATCAGTACACCCTCTATATAAATGTCCTTGCTTTCTATCAGATGTCCCCAGAATGAGTTTCTGCCTTGTTTGCGTTTCTCGTAGATGTGCATCTCGAGACATTTTCAAGTGGGATAACCAAGCATTATTGTCTGGCGGTTTTTTCCATGACAGATTTTTCAGGAGTTCAGGCAATATCGGCACATCTGGAGAAAGAATGATTCATTGCCGTTAAACACTATTGTCTTTTTAACCTTGCATTTGTCCAGAAAATCACTGCCAATTTTATTCCTTGGGGTCCTCCTTAAGAGAGGGGTATTGAGCATGACAAATCTAGCATAATGATAGATAATCATGCCAGTTTGCCAATGGAATTTTCATGACCCCCAAAATTTTAAGGTAATCGACTGTTAATTGTTTAAAAGAAAGGGTTGGGAAATTCAACCCAGGATAACCTGTGCAGAAATTTGAGATAAACCTCAAGAGAAACTTTTTATTCAAGATATCATCTGGCAACAAGGGGTAGGGATTTTAGAGATGTGATTGGCAGAATCCAGCATTTAAATGACAAGGCAGATTCAAAATAAAAATGCATACATTCTTCAAGGTGTTCTCTCTGATTCAAGTGTCAATTTGAATTTTTTGAGATCTTCAGAATATCTGTCTGACCCTTTGACAATAATCTGGAGCATATCTTTGTAATTCTGGAAAGAAAATAAATTGCTTCTCAGTTTTCGTCTGCAACATGGATTAATCTCTCACTCTGTGTGCATATATTTATACTTCCTTTGTAACTAAAGAATTTCAAAAGTTTGCTCTTTGAGTTTTGGGCCATCTCAATGTTGGTGGTGGGGTAATTACTGCCTCTGTCATGTTTGTGTTAGATAATGCCCTGACTTGCTTGCTGCTTTTTCAAAATGTGTTCACAATGGAGCACTGCAAAATTCATTTATTGCATTAAGACTTTGGTGTATTGAAAGTTGATAGATTGATAAATGTTCAGTGCTCCTGAGTCACTTGCATTTTTGCAGACCATGCATTAAATTAAAACAAGCAATAAACAATGAAAGTGATAGAAACCACACTTTATTGCTAAGCCATTGCTGGTAGGAGGAGCATTTAATTAAGCTGATGAATTTAATTGGTTGGCAACTTCTGTAGCTATCACACCATAATCTTTTTGTTTTTCTTTGACTTCAAAAGAAAACTTTAATTAAGCTATCTCTCACCTAATAATGCTTGAATTGTATGCTTCAACACTGATTCCTTGGATGAGATTATTGAAGTCAAGAGTTATCTCCCTTGAGAAGGATTTTGGTCCTATCACCTTAATGTGAGCACTGTATTATCAGGGTTATTGTGTAAACACTGCTAGGACTTATCAAACTGGATTAACACCTCCATGGTGTCAGGACTTTCATCAAGTTGTGGGAAAATTTCTTGAGAATTCTTAGACACTAAAATGCAAGTTCTTGGTCCTTTGCACACCTAGTATAAATGATGAGCTATATTTTTTCACTGTTCCATATTTAAAGGGTCTTGGTCTGCTTTGTCAGATCCTCGGACAGGTAAGGCCACCTCACGATAAGTTAAGTTTATAATGTAACACTGATTGAGAAGTTAATTCTTACACGGTCTCCAGCAGTTAACCATGATTAGGTATTCATTACCTGTGGATTTGTAGGTAAATTGGTTGGGGATGAAACCTGGGGGTATGACCTGATTTCCACCAGGATTCAAAACCAAGGGTGTTAGGTTTCTCTTCAGAGGAAATTTTTATCCTGATCTTAATTATAGGTCTTTATAAAGCAAATTTCATTACAGAGGAAATCAGACAGAGATTTTGTCTATGTGAACTTTATGCAGTCTACTGTCCTTATAAGGGATGAAATTTATTAACTCTCTCTGCTATATATCTGGTAAATATATATAATATGTCTAATACTATCATCAACTAATCTTTGATTAGTGCATGAAATTAATTTGGAATATTGGATTCTTTACAATATGTACAGGGGTGCAATTTTTCTACATTACACCACTAATCTTAAATTTCATTTCAATGATAACAAATCAATAAAGGTCTTGGAAGGTTAATTTGAACATGATCAAAATTATTGACAAGTTTTTGTGTGAAGAAAATCTAAAACCAATGTAATGATAAACTTTTATGTATCTTGAATGCCATGGATATATCTGTGAGATTTGAATTCCAACCACTCTTCTTCATTGTATATTTTAAACTCAGTACCTGAAATCCTTGGCTCTTTCTCAGCTTTTTTGGACATCAAGCCCAAGATAATAAGGTTTTGACTGTATAATAGCATTTACAAAGAATTTATCCTGTGAAATCACTCATTTTTCGTGGGGGTTTAATTTTCGTGGTTTTCGAGGTAGAAAGAGATTCAAAAATTTAAGTCACCATAAAAATGTAATTTTTCACAGATACTACTATTCACTAATTCTTCATCCATGAAATTAAATCTCCAAGAACCCATATTTTTTACTCAACCCATGAAAATTTGACCCTATGAATATATGAGATTTTACAGTACTTTAAAAAGTTTTCTTTGGCTGTATTTAAGGATATAAATATTTTTAAGCATTTTATTTGTGTTGTTTTTAGGTCGAGATTGTTTGATGGAGGAGTGGGGGTCGTGGAGCGAGTGTGATGAGCTCTGTGGGTACGGGACCCAGAGGAGGAAGAGAAAGATCCTCCGACACCGCCAACACGGAGGGAAGAAGTGCCCTGTCCGCCATGAAAAACGGGCATGTGTGGGCAACCAGTGCTTCGCGGTCCAGTCAGTCGAGTTCAGGGGCAAAGAACTTAGTGGTGAGTTGTTGTCTGACAATGGGTTTATAATCAGCATTGTTAATTTTTTATCTCCGAGCTGGTCTTTTATAGAATTTGGGTCATAGTAATAGGTTTATTCTTATAATAAGAACATTTGCTTCAAAATATACTAAGTATTTAATTGAAGGTCATTGTAACATTAACCTAAATACACAACAGCATTAATGTATAGATAATCGTCTTGTTTATTATTAACTTGTAAAAAAAATTTCCTGTTACTTAATTACGCAAAAAAGAGCAGACCAACAGAGCATCAAGAAATGATAATTTTGAGTCGGTGATTTGGATCAGGTCAGGCAAATAACTATAAGCATAAATATTTTAAAGTTTTGATAGGAAGATTTAAAAGGAAAATGAAGAATATATTAAATTGATAATTTTTTTCAAATCTTAATGCAAATATTCAACACGTCCAAAGTCATAAAGAAATTACAAGCCCTAGACATGCCAAAATTTATTAATGTACAAAAGGAGCAAAATTCAAGGATATGTTATGATTTAGATTTCCTGAAAATATAACATTAAATTATCCTTAAAAAATATAACTTCAAATTCAATGTAAAACCAGGATTGTTACAGTGTTTTAGTTTCTTTTATGTAATATAGAATGATAACATGCTTTTATTATGTAATTTTCAAGACTCCTATTCAATTTATCATTCTCCCAAGACAAAAATCAGGAAAAAATTTCAAAGATTTTTAGGAGAATCTGAAGCCTGATTTTGTTTACATGGCATGGAACTTACTAGGCAGAGAATTCTAAAGAGAATGGCCAGGAATTTAGTAGGAAATGAACATCATATCCTGCCAGATGCACTTAAGTTTAAAAAATCTTTTTTTCTCCCTTTTCTGCTGTCAGTGAAGAGATTCAATCACAAATAAAAATCTGTGTTCATTAAGTTCTTTCCAAAAAGCATGAGAAAGTTTTGTGACTTGTACCGATAATATTCTGCGTAGTTTGACCTAGAAAAACAGATATTTGGGACATTCATGGAATAGGAACTTGTTTAGCTCCTGCCTAAGTCTTTGAGGAAAAAGTTCAAATCACTTATTTGAAAAATTGCTGGGGGGTCACAGATAACTGTTTTATGCCTTGACATCAGAGTTACTCTTGCATCATTCCACCCCAGGGTGCTGGTTCTAAGGGTCTTTGATATCAATCCCTTATAATCCACTTTGATGGAAAAATATTTATGAAAAAATCATTGGAGATGCTTGGAGATTTCATGTTAAAGAGAAAAACAAATTAAATATTTTGAAAAATAAGGTTTATATATCAGTTTAGTACATGTACTAATACAACTCTTCCTACCAAACTTTAAGTACACATTCCTCCTCATATACATTTTACCACTGGAGAGTTTGGATTACCGATAACTGTAACAGAGAAAGATTATTCAGGAAACGTTCTCAACAAGAGCTAAATCGGAGCCTGATGAAGCACACTGTATTTACCACTGAGTGCTTTGTGTTCCGAATCATGTTTTTCTCTAAACAACATCTTGTTAGTTAATTACGACAGAAGATGTTTGTCTAAGAAAGATGGAGTCCTAACATTTGTTCTACATTTGAGCTAAGTTATGAATGAAAGATTTTTTTCAAGATACCATCCCTATTATTTTGTACATCCATTAATGTTTATGGTTTCTGATGTCTTTTGATTTGTAATTCCCCTGATGAAGATAGTCAACATTTTAACTATACTGATGTGAGCAGCATAAGCCCATGACCCAATAATGCAATAATACAACCACATTTTGACATCTAGATAAACATATGTAAGATACAAATAATTAACAACATAACTGCATGAAGTCAAAAGATAAACAGCAAACATCCCATCCTGTGAAACTGAACTAAAGGTATCTGTTTTGGGTTTGATAATAGAAAATATCTAGAAAGTAAGAGATTGGAAAATTTTTTTCAAGATGCAAAGTAGCGTTAACATGCACTCAGTTACCAAATGCAGTATTGGAGGGGACACATCAACAGCAATATCTAGTGGCAGTCAGGGGGAAATTTGAAAATAAATGTCAAAAAATCAATTTGTCATTTTTCCCCCAATATAGAGAATTCAGAAATATAAATGCTTGAAGTGGGTTGTTTCAGATTAATACCAGAGGTAGTTGATGAATTGTACAGAACATCTTTGGCAGTAATTTGATTAATAGTGATGATAAATGAGGCAAATTGAACATTTAGCAGAAAACTTGTGTGGTCTAGCATGTTAATAGGTAGAGACCAATGAAGAAGTCAATGCTTCTCCATAAAATTTCTGTTAACATGTAACAAGATTATCTAAAAAAGTTGAAACTGAGAGAATGCTAAATATGAGATAAACTTTTAAAGTATCATTATTATAGCAGCATGTACAAAGATAAAAAATTACAAAAAGCTAAAACGTGTTGTTTTTTTACAAACATTAATGCAAGACATAAATTCCATCTAAGAACCTATTCATACAGATGTTTTATGCTGTTGATCACCTCTGAACCAATCATAATGGAACAAAAAGAAATTTTATTTTATGAATGACATTTAAAATTATGTTCTCATGATTAGCCAATTTTATGAACTATTATGGCATCACATTTCACCGATTGTAAATTTTATGAATGATAATTCTGCTGATAAGATCTCTAATTAGGCAGTAGTAAATCATATTTCTTTGCAATTATACCCCACCATTTGAGATGATATGGCAAGGAATGAAAAAGCAATATACCTACTGGATGTCATTTTTCTAATTGTTTTAAAACACCTGCAAATTTGCTCTGGTAATGGGGTGCTGGGGTCATACAAGGTCAAAAATTGCACATTTTTGGGTTACACATTGGGGACATTGTTTCATTAAGATGATGAAGCAATTCTGTGTTATGGCAGCAAAAACTGACAGATTAATTTCTAAATTAATTTTTAATCTTGCTTTAGTAGATGATTATCTTTGTACATGTGGTTAAGTGTTTATGCTTGTTTTCAGAAATTGGTACTAAATACAGGTACCAGAAGCATGTCACTGTTAATTTCCATAGGATCATGAAATAGAAATGATACTAATTAAATTGTGAAGGCTTTTAATCAGCAAACAAATGCCCTCTACTGTTTTTAATGTGATATAATAAGGAGAACTATTAATCACCGTTTTTTTCTTGCTCTCTGATTATACCCTGTCAGCCGCGTCATTCCGTTGTTACCAGTTGAATTATGAGTACTCTCATCGCGAGGTGAAACCTCTAGTTCAGAACAGTTTGTCTTAATCCTGTTGGGCTGACAAATGACCAAAAATTATATATTTTTTTCACTGTACAGGCATGTTTGAATTGGTCACTGCTTTGTTAAACTATAACGAGGGGTTGTCTGGAGTACAAATCAACAGCTCCTAGGGGCTGAATCAGAAGCTTCAATAAACCACAACTTCCTCTCGCTATATCTCTCGTATTTATGGATCATCTTGACATTGAAGAGTTTAGGTTTTGTGGTGGGTATTTGGTGGATTTTAAATAAGATCCCTTTTTCTCAGGCCAGACACCAGATTATCACTTTTACCACACACCAATTGTGTGGTATTGCTGAGGAGCATATAAAAATACCTGTCTTTTAAATGTGTTTTTTCTTCATACATCCATGTTTTTCTAAACTTTTTATTGTGTTCATATCTAATACATGGCCGGATGTTTTTATAATCTTGTGGTAAAATTGTGAGAAAGTTTTTTATTCTTTGCATTTTCCAAGTGTACTCTTTGTTGAATTTTTAAATTTGTAATTTGATAATGTGAAAAAGAAGATAAGAGCAAATTTATGAATGAAGTAAAATAGACATTAATTGTTACATAAATAGGGTCATTGTTTTGTTGAAATTAATATGAACAAGTTGAATGCAGGTCAAGCTCTAACAATGTGTCTTATTTTCTGAGCACAGGACGGAAGCTTGGCACCTATTTGAAGATTTTTTTGAGGAGCTGTTGTAGAAATGTAACTTTATCCCTTTATCTCCTAAACTGTCTTTGAAGTCAGTTATGATCCCATTATGAACACAATATTTGGAGAGTGCTTCTTGTGCAGTTGTTTGTGGTGTAAATCAGTTGTTTTATCAGTCACTCTTTGTCTATTTCTCTGTACTTTAAGTAGAAGCTCTCAGATTGTTATCAGCATTTGATACTATGCATAATATGACCCCTATAATTACCCTTTAAATGCCTTTTTAATCATTAATAGACATCTCTTACATTCTGAATGGTCTACACTTGACTTTTAAGTAACAAGGCTTTAGAAAATGTATATTGTGATTATAAGCAGGCATTTAATCTTTTTACTCAAATGTGCCATATACACCACATCAAAGTCAGTGTCTGGATAAAGGTTATAATCAGATTTATAACTTTGACATATGTTCTGGCCCTTAAACCCTATATCTTAAGTGACAAAGTAAAGTGCTTCTGTCTGTTACCTAATGATGCATCAACATTACAAACTTTGTAGAAATACATAAGTAAAATGTTATTTTTAAAAAAAATGGGACTTTAGCCATTAATTGAAATCTTTATGTGAAGATTAGATAACTATTACTCTGCCTGTACCATATAAAATTACATCTCCCCTAGGGGGATAAGCATCCCTCCAAGGGAGATAATCCTGTTTGAGTAATACCTGGTAATCTCCCTTAATCTGAGCTGTGTCTGGGTTTCTTATCATTTTCCTTCCTAACTGTTTTGTGATACAGACATGGAGAAACTTGATTTCCTTTCCCTATTTTCTGGATTTAGCATTATATCCCTCTGCACTGCCTCCACTCTGTTCCCCAGAAGGTATTCAGATCCCTATATTATAAAAGGTATTGTTTCTGACTTAATGAAAGTGTTATTACGAGGGTTGTCCCATAAAATCGTGGACAAAGCGCTTTTCTCAAAAAGTAATGTGCGCAAAAACTGAAATTTTCAGTAAATGTTTATTCATCATATTTAAGTGTATCATAATGTTTTTGATTATATATATGCAAAAATAAAGATTTTATTCTGCTTGAATGTGCACAGGGTAATTCACTTAACCATAAAAATAACAAGGTTATATTAGAGACTATGCAAGTATTAAATCGTAATAAAAGTTTTAAATACACAAGATTAGGATGAAAATTGTTCAAATTAAATTCCTTAATCAATTCTGAGGTCTTTTTGAAAATTTCAAGCATTTTGGTTAATTTTTGGCAGTTTCCCGCATTTCAAATTGGAAAGTGGTAAACACAATACACGAAAAATGGCGACGTTTGATGACGTTACGGCGCACCGGAGAACAGTTCAGTTAGATTAGGATGTTGTAATGACACATTAAGAGACTTTAAATGAATACAGAAGAAAGAAAATATGTAAAATATCACCAAATCTTTGAAATATAAATGAAATGGATGTTTTCCTAAATTATTCTGATGTACAAGTAGTACAAAACATAGAAACTGCCATTGTTATAGCAAAAGCCGCTGTCACTGTCGACTGTTGATGTGAGATTCTTTGTTAATTGAATGATGGTGAGAATACTGTCCCTAACTTGCTAATAAATCTTCAGAAGATCGCATGAGTGTGCCACATTAGTTCCGTAACTGGTTATAAACACTCACGTATGAAAATCAAAAAAAAATTCTAGATTTAAGTGGGGTTTATCAAACTTTACATTTAACAAACATGAAACGCGACGCTGTTTTAGACACCTTGACGTTATAATCCGTGCGCCGTAGGGCGAAACAGTACATAACATGAAATATCACAATTTGTTTATTTATGCATATATCTATTTGAAATTTGCTATGTATATTCATATTATATGTACTAAAGAGTAGTGAAAATTTCAGAATACATTGATGATTATTTTTCAAACTAGACAACTTGTCCACGATTTTACGGGACAACCCTCGTACATTGTTATAAGACAACTTTCCTTTGTATGCAAAAACTACTGTAGCATTATACTTATCTACCACAACAATTTCTGTTTGAGAGTTTTAAGTAGCAATGTTAAGTATTCCTTTACTACAATATTGTAATTCACTTAACCATCACTTTACTATTGTGCATTTAAAAAAAAATTACTTTAAGAAGAGTAGAGAACTGATTTAAATATATACTTTCTCATCTAGCTGAGTGTTTTAATGTGTTAATTTTTAATTCTGTTCAGTTGTATTTCAAATTTTTAACTTCAGAATGCCTTTCAAGTACTATGTATGCATTCTTTGTAAACACATCAAATATTTTTCAATCTTGACAAGCAAAAAAAATAGAGAAAGTAAGATTGTGTAATATACATAACGCGGTCTTTGCTTTAGGGGCCCAACACATGTCATCAGGAATTATTCTTTGAGATAGCACAACCTTCTTTATTTTAAAAAATCTTATGTTTATTGTGCATTCTTTTTCTAAAGCATTATATTAATGTATACATGTGGCAAAATTATTAAGGGGGACAACTATAAACTAGCTTGGTTTCCTATAGTTATATCCTGGCAAAATTGTTGGAGGGCATGACTTATAGGTATGTATGTAGTTTTACATTGAGTCAACTGTTTACTAAAAGCCCAATTTCATAGCTTACATAAAATGGAAAATTAAAAGACTGTGGAAGATTTTAATGTGTAAAGAATCAATCAATATAAGTACTGTCCTGTCCTTCCCCAGTGATTATCTGAAGTACCCCACATAATCTCAAATAATCCCCTCCCATCTGTTTGGATTCAAAGCACCCTGCTGTACCGACCATTATCTGCTATCAAACTATCCAATAGGATTACAGGAAGCTGGTCTTGTGGACACCCAGCAAGCATTTATTGTCCCGAATTAAAACATTTTTTCCACCTATTGAGCTCCAATTTTCATAAACTTTGAAGTTTTCTGATGGGCTGTCGAAGCATGAAAATGGGGTATATTTACAAACATGGAGATGACTAGCGGCCAAAGAATGCACTTGTAGAGGGAAAAGTGGTTTTCTCATGCACAATTGTAACAATATTAAGAAGTCATTTGTTTGGGGGGACCCTGTACTGGAGTCTCTGGTTACATCTAGGGAATGTATGTAAAATTGATCAGAGTCCTGACACACAGTGGGATAATTGTGCATCATATCTGAAAAATTCCATGCCAAGAAGTAATTAACAATAGTTTTCTTTTAATGACTTTTTGAATTGGTTATCTTTAACTTGCATGTATGATATTTTCTCTATTGAAAAGGCCTTGCACAAATATTTATCATCCGATAGGATTTCATTAAATAAACTGTATGGGAGGTATTTCACTTTTCTTAGCAGATTAAATACCATATTGACTTTCTTGACATGTTGGCTTTCATATCATGGGCTTATTTTACTAGATAAGCATCTTTCGTTTAACTTTTGAAATACAATACATACGTTCATACAATGGGAAGCTGAACACTTTGTGAAATACAGAAAGGAAAATGCTGGCTTTCTGACACATATTGTTTACATATTTTACACTTAAGCTGTCACATATCTGGGAGGAACATCATTTTTTGACACTCCCCACTCACAAAATCTTGACATGAAACAAAGTGCAAGGATCCACTAAAAGTAGAGAGCCTTAAATAATGCATGGTACACTGCAAATAATCTGCTTTTAAGGCAATTTATCAGAGTGTAGGGGAAGTAATAAATGTCACTTGTGTAAATAAGTTTTTCTCTTCTTTGACCTATCTTGGTTTCGGTGTTTATTTAGCAGTAATGAATACAGACAACTTATATATCACCATCCTGATACAATATCACAGTGACAGACAGTTACTGTTTTTAAATGCACATTTGTTACACTTCCTGTGAAAATAAAACAGTACTTCTTTGATAATAAAAAATCGTTATCAAGCTAGGATATTTTTTCTTGCAGTAGAATATAGTTGAGCGTTGCTAATCCAGACATTAGTGTTCCCTAGAAAACTTTTTGTAATTGGGTCAATAAATTCTGTCCCTGACACATTAATCCAGAAGGTGAAGGGGCCTGGATAAATGAGACTCCTGTTCTCATTATAAATAGTGTTAGATAGTTCATTACAATGATCCCGATGATTTAGGTGTACAAGAAGTCTGAATGTGTTTTGTTTACCTCAAAGAAAGATCATATACGTGCGATCATGTTCATCATTTGTCCCAGTTTCCACCAATTTACTGGCCTTTAGCTTTGTTCATCACTAAGAAATCTTGTGTAAATGAAAATCTTTCCCTAGAGCTTGACAAAAAGTTTTGTTTTGTTTTTTTTTTACAAAAATCTAGCTCTTAATAAGGAAAATATAAAGTTATAAGTAATTGATTTTTGACACTAGTCTTTTGAATGTCTTTTGCAGAGGTTGGGAAGATTTTACCAGCAGAATTTGGAAGATGGAGAACAAGTAGTCTATACAGTATGGAACATGATATCAGGAGGAATCTGATAGAGAATCGCCTCAGCAACGAGGTCCCTACCAGACTACCGTAAGTAGCAGTAAATGTGAAATAGAGTTTGTCACAGCGTTTTTTTAACCAGGTCACAACCACCTCGATGAGGGTGGTTTATAAAGAATAAAGGATTCAAGGCTTTGATCACTCACAAGATGTTCCATTGGTGACATTGTTTGAAAACTAAACCAGTTTTCTGTAATGATGCAGGAATTTATCCCAAGTCCTCACACCTGGATATTTACCTTTGCTTACCTGTCCCCATATACCTGTCTCAGGTGTGCATACAGTCAAATCTTAAGGATGCAGTCTTACCCACTCAAATTTGATCCAGGGCTTTCTGGAAACATTTTCTCTTGTATTCAGGGACCTTAAAGCCAACATATTTCTAATGACACTCTGACAATGAAGCTTTTGGTCCAAGGTTAATTGATACTAAGTCTTGCACCTGGAAAACACCGACATCAAAGGCCCAGGGTACATGTACCTGTAGAATTAATGATCAGAATATCAAGCTACACTCAGTGGTAGCATTTCTCTTTGAAAATTTAAAGTAAGAGTCTGAATTACATTTACAGTCAATACATCAAATTTAGTATTAGTGTATAAGACACAAAATACAAATCTTTGTGGAAACTGAGCTGTCTTAGAATCATTATATAAAAAAGATAAAGTGTTCTATCAGTGGGTGGCAGAGTTATAATTGGGAGTACAAATGGAACATCTAAGCTTATAGGGTATTTCTTTCAGAAAAGAGTCTTTGCAAGTTCTTGAATGTGAGCAGGATTATTCACCAATTATTTTGCAAACCGTCTCAGTTTTCTTGTGTTTGAAGATTTAGGTGAACAAACTTTAGCCACCTGTTACAAAATATGATGTGTTTAGCATATTGTGGTCAATGGTACAAATATTAGAATGTCCATATAATTTTAGGGGGGAGAAAAAATACATGGAACAGGAACATGTAAAACTACTTGTTGTTGAATATGTGTTCTGTCTTGCAAAAGGAAAGTTGTGCTATTGATTGAGTCTTGCAGAAAGTGGTCAGTGGTCTGATATTGGCTCTTCAAGTCATTGTGCTTCTAAATCTACTCTCCAACTTTGGGTAATGCTTTTAAGTTTTGTTTAGGAAAAATGTCTTGCCTCAGCAGGCTGGAAAATGCACTCAATCACAGAGCCAATGGTAACAGGGTCTTGCTCCCATTTTAATGTAGAATAATTGCCATGGAGTCAGTAGCTGGCAAAAAGAATTACCCTCAGACAAATCCTTAAAAATGTTGTGATTACAGAAAGTTGACACCCTCTTCCAGAAATTGACTCACTCCATAAACAGGCCAGTGTTGAAATTTACTGGTGGTAATGGCCATATTGAGTTTCAGTGATTTTCAGCACTTTAGAAACAGTAAAGGGTTGTCTTTAGTGTTTTGTTAAATGTGTATTAGAATTCAGTTTCATTTTTTAGCACTGAAGTACCCCCTGATGCTTTTATAGGAAACAAAAATTTAATTATTTTAAAGATCAAAGAAGATTTGTAGGTATACTTGATAAGAACTTGGGGATAAAGGGGAAAAATCACACCTCTGAATGCGATGGGCCTTCAATCAATTTGCTGTCTAGTCAAACATATTAAATCTCTCATTATAAGGTTTCCCTTTTATTGAAGCTACAATTTCATGTGTGTGTATGAGTTATCATTAAGTTTTCTTTAATTCTTTCAGTTTAGAACAAAATTACCCATGTACACTGCACAAATTTATGAATGGTTATATGGCTCTCAAAAACTGAATGATTCATAGCTGTGGTAATTACCTTGTTCAAAGGCCTGACTTCTGTTAATTGCATAGGAAACCAAAAAGGTGCCAGTGTTAAACTTTAAGATTTTACTTCTTCATTTCCTGATAAAAAATTCTGAGTGAAGAAAAAAAATTGTGAATGGGTGCACGTTTCCCAGGATATTAGTTAGCTCCTGTATCAAGAATTAATTTTGAGAGATACAAGATATGCTTAAAAAATGGTTAAAATATGGACAGATTTGATATTTTCTTAATGATACTTGCAGGTGCTAAAAATTTGATCAGGTTTCTTTATCATAATCCTCAGACTGTGTGAAAAGCTGTTTTTGTATGACAGATATGTGCATCCCTCTAAACATAAGGTTATCCGTGAAGACACCTGGTTGACGAGAGAAAACACTAATCCACGCAAATACGTCATTATGTTCACTTAACTGCACCTCCCGAATGAGGGGTCAAGGGTTTGTCGATCATCTTCTTTGTACTGGGGATGAAATCAAATGACAAAATCTGACAGTCACACAAAGAATTCATTTCACTTTGATTGTAGTATTTGTAACTTGAAGCCATTGAAACTCTCCATAAATAAATCTGTAGTACTGTACCATATAATTATGATTGACAGATGCAAGTTACTGAAAAATGTCAGCGTGGCAACCGCTTGTTAAAAGTTTCATTTAAAAAGGACAGTTTGTACATAAGATGTTTGTCATTTGAGATCTTTATTTTTCACTTTTTTTCCCCTCTTAAAGTGCTATTTAAGTTACTGTGCACTTATAATAACTGCATCTGGAAGACCCAACATTTCCATATTCAGTAATCCAATTAAGACAATCCTGGAGGATTTAAATTGCAATTAAGTATGATTGAATCCAATAAAACAGACATCAATTTTATGAATGTACTTTTTTTGTTTCATGAATTTTAGATTAGTATCTAGGTTGCACCTGCTTGGAAGGAGGAAAACAGAATAAAAACAAGAAGTGTGTTTCTGCCATACATTAGTGTCTGTGTAAGGGTGTTCTCTCTGAAGCATGAAGAATAGCTTTATCTGATTATAGGAAAGTAAACTTCCACCAAAAGATGCAACCCCATTTCCCAGGTTAAAAGAGTCAAGATTACCATGGCAACTCTCCAAAATAAATCAGATATACATTTATTTCTAAAACAATTAAGAATGGATTTACTTAATCCTTGGAATGAGCCTTGCACCATTTCTTGTTCAAAAATAACTTTGTTATGGTTAGTTTGCAGTACAAGTGGGTTTGTCTTTTCTTTTGAACACTTTGCAAGACATATAATTTGTGTTGGAATGCCCTACTGGCCCACTAAGCTTCAGTGATGGGAAATTGGAATAAGACTGGTATCAGTACTGTCAACCCCATTTAAATTTTTTTTTTTTTCCTTTTTTGAATGCCTTAATGGCAAATGTGCATACATTATTAATAAGAGCTAGGGTGCGCCTGTGCTTAGGGGTTTCGAAATTGCATGTACTCTTTACCCTTTGTCTGTATTTTACTGAAAATTTCTTAAAGTAAAGCTATAACTCTGATTAAGGGCACTGAACTTCAAATAAGACTAATATTTCATAATTTTATTTTAGATACTGTGCCAAATTTACCATTGTGGCTACCAGCCTGTATTGCAACATGTCAGGAGCCAATAACAAGTGGGCCAATGAACTGCAGCTGAACAGAACGGTGTGTATCCAATGTGATCCATTCGCAATGAGCAAGGAACTCGGAACTCGTTGTATCGGACATGGTGTCTACAACCACACAACTCGCTGGAAGGCCGTGGATGTCCCGTACTGCAATGGACAGTGGAAAATGATTACCAAACCACAGGATGGTTGTGTGTGTGATGTAGAATCCAAAGACAGCTTTATTTTAATCTGAGAAGAATTTCTCTTCATTTTGTAAAATGATTTATGAAGTATATGGTTGTTTTTAGAGTCTAGTTTACATAATTTTACATCTTTTATGTCTGTCAGATTGGGTCTTCTCACCAAAGACTGTAAAATGTAGTGGTACCGAATTATGTAAAATTGAGCTTTATGATATGGTTAAGATGAATGAACATGAAGATATTTGGATTTAGATGAAATATTTGTGTATGTTTTGTAAATGTACACATCAGTATGTAATGTGACTTAATCATATGTATTTTCTACTTCACTTTGTCATATTGTACTTTTTTATCTTTAAAGATTGGAAGGGTGGAATTAGTGCTAAAAAAGAATGTATGAAAATGTAACAAAATGGAATCTGTATGGGGTTTGTAATATTAGGCCAGTATCAAATTTAATCAAATACCAGTAGAAGTATGTTTTACCTAGAGAATGTTTATTCTCCTTCTTCTCATTTAGATATACTCCTAGGCTATATGATATCTCTAACACTCCAGATTTTGGTTGTGGTTTCAGCGTTTGATGTCATCCATTAAAATCCTCTGTATTCATGTATCTTAAAATACTCAAAATCCAGTGAATTACATATAGATATAAATCATAACCAACAAATACCTCACACAAAAAACACATACAAATGCATCATGGGTAAAAAAATTCATCTGAAAAAGAGGCTACTTGTGATATAGATCTATGCTAAAGGAGGTCTGAAAAACAATTTTGTAAATCGTTTGTACATAATTTTTGTGGATTGATGTACAAAACCCTTTAGATGATGAAATGATTAGATACTGATTGAAATGGTGCTTTCAGATAATAAACAAAAATGTAACCAGAAAATTGCACAGTTGATTTGGCTTATAAGCTTACCAATATGATACCCTGCTTTTATATATGAATCTGCATGTATTGGTCCCAGTCATGATACATTGTATAAGATTAGAATTTGTCCCTCCAGTTAGCTTTACACATATTCTGTTGTGTATATAAAACATTTGTTGTAGAGTACTATAGAAGTTTAACTGTGTTATATTCTCATCATTTCTACTTTTTTCTACATTTACATGTAGACATTAATTAATTATTTTATGCTATACTGTACATGTAGCTTTTGTACTCGATTTTGTCCATAACTGTAGCATTCTTTCTGTAATTCAGATTTATTTTAAATGTTCATTTCTATAGTTGGATGTTGTGATAGTTCTATGCAAACCAAAAAATGACATCAAATTCTGTTTGTCTGTGTGAAGGTCTGAAGGATAATTTTAAATGCATGCATCTCATTTTGTAAATAATAAATTTAGTATACTCATTTGAAATTTAATGTACTGAAATAAAATATATTAGTTACCAATAATTTTGAGTTACAATGTATTTTTGGACAGCCAATTGATTGGATTTCCTATTTTACAACTAATATTGTGCCAATTTTACAAGAAGTCTTTTGGAGACATGCTATTTATGACCAGTATATATAATGTGCTCTACAAAGTTGATCAAGGCTGAACCAAACCAACTGTAGAGTGGGATGTAGACTAAAGTGGTGTACATTTACCCCTGACAGCTACTAGTGCAATAGTTATGAGTTAGGTTAAAGGTGACAACAGACAGACAAACAAACAGACAGACAGGACAAAAGCAATATACCCCTAGGATCTTTCTATCCCAGGGCATACAAATTCTCAAGAACAGGATACTAGTAGACTATTAGTCATACTGATATGGAAGCATCCTCAGGTAGTATAGAATCAACTTTGGTTGGTGACCTTGAGCTTACCAAAATGGCCTTTGATGTATGAATTGTGATCAAGTTTGTGACATACACTTAGGTCCTTTGTGAAGTAAGTCCGAAATATCTGACGTTTTCTAGGCTTCTTATAAACGATTTTGATTTTCCTGGCACATAAAATATCAAAATTGTGAAGAAAGAAAGGCCTGGAAAACGTCAGGCCTGGGGGCCATAAAACTTAGACGAGCTCACTTTTGATCTCAGTCTCACTTTTATGGCCCCCAGCCCAGATATTTCGGTCTATTGCGAAGTCTGGACTTTCTCTGTTTCTTAGTAAGAAACAAGATGTGTTTGTAAAACACTATGCGCCCGGCGGCAACAAAGTTCTAAAAAGCAATTTTTAGCTAATAGGTCACAATCAAGGTCATTTGATCATTGTCCTTGGTGTCACTTGAAAGCACTTAATTAGTGGAGTATGCATACCAAATATGAAGTCTCCATCTCCTATGGTTCAAAAGTTATGGCGAAAGTTCGAAAAAGCTATTTTTAGCATATATGTCACAGTCAAGGTCACAAGGTCATTGACCTTTACGTCAGTTGAAAGTGCTTAATTAGTGGAGTATACATTCCAAATATGAAGTCTCTATCTCTCACGGTTCAAAAGTTATGGCGAAGGTTAAAGTTGAAAACAGACAGACAGGACAAAAACAATATTCGCCCCGAAAAAATTCGAGCGCTTAAAAGAGACATGAACCTTACAAGGATTGTGAACTTTTTATACCCCCGTAACCAAACATTCGGGGTAAATATTTTTTGCCACGTCCGTCTGTTTGTCTGCAAAAACTTTAACCTTGCCCATAACTTATGAGTGGATGGGTCTATGACTTTCATATTTCATAGGTGTATTCCTTGTATTAAGACCTTTCTTTGGGTAACACCAAAGTTTACTTCTTTACCTTGAAGTTCGACCCACTTTTACCAAATATTACTAAACTTTAACATCGGTCATAACTTTTGAACAGAATGTGCCAGGGCTTTCATACTTTATATGTTTATTCATTGTGACAAGAACAATTCAATAGGTTAAAATATTTTTGACCGCCTCAGAGTTTGACCTACTTAAAAAACTTTAACCTTGGCCATAACTTTTGAATAATTAGTATACTACATGTATTAAACCTTGCATATTTCTCTAGTGTACTAGTATTCCTTATGACAAGATCTTCCTTTGGGTACCAATCATTTTGACCTTTTCACCTTGACCCTAAGAGTTTGACTTTCATTTTAAAAGCTTCAACCTATGCCATAAGCTGCATATCTTGTTCTGTCTGTGACTTATTTACCAAAGGACCTTCGGTAATATTGTGACTTTGCAATATTTGCGTCAAGTTTAAACACTGAATGTTCCTCGGATACGAAATTATGGATTGGGTAAGGTACAGTATACAAAAGTTTAAATCTATATAAATTATATCTTTATGCATGTAGTACATATACCAGTAACACTTCTTTTGAAGAATATAGAAAAATAATTTTCCGCTGCTTAAAATTTTCGTTCAGGCAAAACAATATACATGCACTTTTATTGCATACTACTGCAGCCAATACAAGGGTGAAATGGTCGACATAAAATTGGCCTCAATTCGTTACTGACAAGTTCATGTCCTACAAGTTAAGGTGGTACATGCCTGATTTGGGGCTGACACACGTGCAAGGAACAGGTGTGGGTAATTACGTACATCACACAAATTACCCCCGTGATTTAGCAGGGGATCGCCTGCCGTCGGTTCAGACTCGCGAGGATACCCCCACTTTATTTTATGGGTAGCATGTCATAGTTTCTACCCCGCTCTACGGATTGCTAACCACCAGGCATCTAAAGAAGCCGTGATGATACTAGCTTGATCCCAAGCTTTTACATGGAACATTAAAAGAGCAATTATCAGGCTTTAAGGTGGATCTTGTTTTACGCTGTTACTCCATGTGGCACTATCTGATCTGGGGACAATCACGTTTACTTAGTTCTTTTTACAGCAGCATATTTTATATTAAACATGTTAAATGGTAGTATATCCTTGGATTATCAGTGAAAGTGTTTGGGTACAGAATCAGAAGAGCATAAGTTAATGTTTGATAACTAACTCAAAAGTTTAATAATCCGATCATATTATACATTATTCTCAATTATTAACAACTGTTTGAAGTGTTTGAGAACTGTGGCAGATCCAGAAGAGGGTTGCAATCCGTATAAAGAAGGAAAGAGATTGCTAGACCCACATGATCACAACTCTCTTTTCGGACAAAATCATGGTCCCATTTATTTTTTTCCTGAACTGTCTATCGGCATTTTTAACCCCCCCCACCTCCAAAAAAAAAAAAAAAATCTAGAGTAAGGTTTAATATCTCCGATTCTGTAATAACTACCCATTGGGCCCAATCTAAGGGCTTTTAGAACTTTAATACTCTACTTAATACTGCACATTGCAAAAAATATAAGGACAGTCACCTAACTTGTCTAAACTGTCATGCAAAGAAATCACGGTAGCATTAAAAGGTGGCAACAACCTTAATACACAAACAAAGAGGTGTCATCGTGAAAATAGTCACGGTGTAAAAACTTACATAAGTAGAGTTTTAATTGCTTGTTGATATATATTTATGGTAAATTTTATAAAATGTGTATTGAAAAGGTCCTCCCTAAGAAGGGCTTTGACCTTCTGCACAAAGCGCGCGTCTTTTGACGTTTACCTGACCTAATGGCTTACTGTAACACGGCCCCCAGTTAACACACCCATTGAATCACTGGTTCAACGTTCTACTTAAGTCCAGACCCCATATTAAAAATCTTCCTTCTTTAACTTTATTAACTTATCACGCAGAAAGAAAAAGGAAACACCTTACTATAACTGACCCCCCCCCCATACCCTGACGATGCTAGTTGTGAAAAACACTGGAGCTGTTCAACACCCGGTTACAAAGCTGTTTTTCGAAATTAAAATTCTCCAATAGTATTACAGTATTTAAATGTATTACTTTATATTTACAGTTTAAAACATCATTACCTGTGCAAAAAAAATTGTTCCCATTGATACATTTCAGACCCAATGCAATTTTCACAAGGATCTAATACTCCTTAACTTAGCTACTTTTATACATCATTTTGCGCCAACAATTTCATTCAATTTTAGGCTCAGCGTAAACAGAGGGTAAAATGTACAATACAGTTCACAGTTGTGATGTTATATGCAAATGTTATAGTTACTTCAAGAGTCACTTGAATTAGTATGTAGTAATGTAAATAAGATAAAATGATAAATGAATGCAGCTTTATGTTTTCAGCAGAATTTTCTAATACTAAAATATACAATTGTAAGTTCTTGCCAATGGTGTGCGCTGTGGAGAATCCGTCCCTGTAACTTGCCACTTTGTAAAATTCACCCTGGTTGACCATGCCTTTAACCCGACCGACAAAGGCCCCGTCAACGTTAACCATTTAATTCACATTTCATTGTTATTTTATCATTTATGCAAAATATTCTCAATAAGCTTTTGTCGAACCCCCCAGTCTATGCGTCAATTATTTCCCCTCCTCCTTTCATTATGCAGACGTCCAAAGATTTTATAGAGGCGATTGTCGCCATCACAAAATGAAGGAGGGTCATTTGATAACAAGCGTGTTAAATTTCACAGTGCCTGTTCTGATCAGGTCAAGTTGGGGAGACAGAAGTCAAAAGGAAGGGGAAAAGGTTAACACAAACCGAACGGAACCACGACATAAGAGAGATAACTCTTATAAACACAAAGAAACCATGATACAAGAGAGATAACTCGTGTAAACACAAAAGATCATTTAATGTCACATCTTCAATAGTTACATATATGCAGTAAATATATGACACATAAATTCATTCATCAACACGGTCCAAAGTAGCATTCACACAGCCATTCTAAGTATCCCAGCCACACACACTTTATCACATCAACACTAAGATGGCGCAGCACACGCTCTTCTTATGCTCATCTCCTGCAAAATTAACAACAATCTTAATATAATTTTTAAACAAACAAGGGATTGAGAATGATAATTTATATTTTACAATAAAAATGAAGATTGATCTGATAATAACTTCTATGTATAACAATAAGAGATAGCAGACAGGATTGATAAATCCACAAATACTGACCCATTTATCCATCAGTTCTGTAAATGTGTATTTACTGGGCATCTGTAGAAGTAGGCGGGAGAGGGATTCTTGTATGGAAGACAGGAAGGGACTGGACTCTGAAAACATTACAATCATACTAATTAATACATGTATATTGCACAGGAGTTTGAAGTTTTTATTGTAAAAAAAAAAAATCGTTGAAAAAACAAACATTTTTTTTAGTTGAGGGTGGAAAATTTTTTTCTGGATTTTTTTAACCATTAAAAGTTCAGATTCCTGTGGTATATTGTAATGCCTGACAAATACTGTAGGCAAGGCAATAATACAAGCCAGTAGGACTGAAAATTTTGTACTGTGATACACTGTGATAATTTTAACTGAATTGCATAAACATTAGGCAATACATTTTTTTTCGTCAGCAGACAGTAATTTAGCAGAAAATTGCTTATATTGTGCAACCCTATCGTGTTATGTCAGGGTCTGTACACTCATCATCACTCTACCATCCCTTGGTCTATCTGTAGAATCTTACCATAGTCATGTGCCTTTGTATCACACTGTGGACTAACACTGGGGTGGGTGGGGTGCTGGTTCACCATTTTGTTCCTGGACTTATCTCTAGGTCTGTACACTTACTGTAGTCCTGTGTATCACACTGTGCACTAACACGGGGGGGGGGGGGGGGTGTCACCATTTTGTTCCTTAACTTATCTCTGAGTCTCTACACTTACTATAGTCCTGTCTTTGTATCACATTGTGGACTAATACTGTGGGGGTATCACTGTACCATATCTTGACTTATCCCTGGGTCTATACACTTACCGTAGTCCTGTGCCTTTGTATCACACTGTGGACTAACACTGGGGTAGAGCTCAGGAACTTTTACAGAGATTGGAGGAACACAGGGCAAATTCTTGTCATCTATAAACAGAAAAAAGTGAGTAAATTTACAGACCGACTGGAAACTAAAGTTCAATTTAAGATTTAATTTTAATTCAATGATTATAACATTTATTTTAATTTAGCAACTTAATATCAAATTCAAAATATGTATTTTTAAAGCTAAGAATTTAGTGAACAATAGGATCTAACCTCTGACTTTGAGATTTTGCTGTGGGAAGTGATTTTGTCTATCATTTTCTATTATTTTATTTAACAAGAGATGTTTGTAAAACACTTATGCCCCCCCCCCCCCATTGGAATTTTTGAAAGTCTAAAAGGGCATAACTCTGTCAAAAATGGCGCGATCGTACCCAAAACAGAACTTGACCTAGATAGTCATCTGATTGTCATCTGATTAATCTGTATACTAAATTTCATTTCAGTATGTGCAACCTCTGTGGAGAAAATGAACAAAAACTGCAAATAATCCGAATTCTTCTAAGTCCAAGGAGCATAATTCTGTCAAAAATGGCACGACCGTACCTTAAACAGAACTTGACTTAGATATTCATCTGATATACGTGTATACCAAATTTCATTTTAGTATGTGTGAAGGTTGTGAAGAAAATGAACTTTGAGATTTTGCTCTAGGGAGTGATGCAGACAGCAGTTTTCAATATGCCCTCCCTTCTTTGAATAGGGGCATAATAAAAGGAATCATACAATACCTATTTTACAAACAAGATGGATGTCTTTGGAATCAGAGTGCTGAGTAGGATCGAGATTGACTCGGAATCGTCCACCGAGTCGTGCGATCTCACCCTGGAGGATGTGGGGTATCTCCTCATCCTCGGCCTCTCGCTTCCTCTTCTTTGGTGGTGGACTGGGGGCCCTGGAAATACATCAACATTTTACTACCCAGCACTGACATTCTGATCGCATTATACTGTAGATCACTAAATTTTCGCAACACCTTATTTTTGTGAAATAGTCATTGACTCTTGATTAGCAAGACAAAATTTTCACGAATTGTGGTTAATGCTCTATTTAATCTCAATCAATACTATTATACATGAAAATTAACTTGCTTGCATAATTACGCAAAAATAAAGTTCTCACAAACAAAAAGTGATTTACAGTATTGTTTATATTCCTAGGGATTTAGCTGTACCTTATTGGTGCTCCAAAGAGAGCAGTCATGGCTGGACCAAATGTTTGTTGTAAGGCGTGGTTAAACATTGGAGACTTCATGTTGGTCGCTACAGCATCCAGTAACGGCTGACACATGTGCATTGGGGTGGTGGTGATGGTGGGGGTGGCCGAGGGAACAGAGCCAGCACCACTCTATTTAACAAATGTAAACATTATAGTTTAATATGGTAATGTGTAAATATTCTTAATCTTTTGGTTGCAGCAATGTTAAGAATTTAGAGGCAGTTTAAGTTGCAAAAAAATCTCACATGCTTGTATGAATTTAAGTTCATTATTACAAAGGGTTTATGCAAGTGGAACCTATAGCACACGTTTTTGTAGTATATGTATGTTATTGTTTTCTAGAAGCAACAGAAGGTCGCACTTATGTTGAATTGGAAGAGCATGTTTACTTACGGGTGGTTTTGACATTTCCAGGTTATCTAACACTTGTTCACATTTCAGTAAAGTTGTCATTGGTAACCTGAAACAGTGTACATACATGTTAATCAAACTTGAATTTTACAAAATGTGCAAAATTAAGATTCAATTTATCAAAAAGATATTTTTTCTGGACAAGGGCTTGTTTGCAGAATTATCTGTTAGGTTTCAGAATGAGCAGATTGAGATATTGGTGTATAATTGAAGTACATCTGGAGTACACTCTATGGATACAATTAGACTTCTGTTTACTTCAGAAATTTGAACTTTCAGACAGTGAAAATTTTTCAAACTAGATGTTTGTATCATATTTGATTAAAAAATTGTGACACCTAGCCATGCATTTAGATATTTAAAACAAATGCTATTGATTTTTTTTAAATCTAAAAATATAGAAACATTTTTAAAGTTATCAAAAATGCCATTTTATACTAAATGTTTTGACAGTTTGTAGCTCTGTGTATGTGCAGGAAAATTTATTTTTTTAGATATATTTTTTCTACATGTTCCCTAAATCTAAATTGCTTTATGTTATGTGTTTGATTCAATTAAATGGCCTAGTTGTTAACAATGGTAAGCTATAAACATGATAAGCTTTAATTCAACAGATCTACTTTACAGACTTTTTATTTTTTTTTTTTCATTCCTTGAAAAATGTTTTAGGAAAATGGAAAAAAATATTTCAAAACAAGGATTACTGAATCATAAAACTCAACATAGTAAAAGAAAAACCAGTGAAATAGATTTAAAAAAAAAAACATTTTATACTAGAATGATGTAGACAATTCTTAAGACAGATGGAAACATTTAAGGCCATGAGATCAAACCACATTCATTTAAAATGTGTTTAATTTGTGCTCTTAAAGATAAATCATATTAACAGGTAAGGAAAAGAAAAGCATTTTTATTTTCCTTTCTGACAGTAACTGTAGAATAAAAAACCTCTGGGATAAAATATGTTTTTGACTTTCCAGTACCTTCTAGTAGGGTCTGTTAATATCTTTAAGAGATTCTCCATCTTGCTGATATCTTTCTTACTCTCTGAAAAATAAATCCTAATATTTACCCTTTACTGATTTTTAGCAATAAATAAAGCCAGAGATAACTAAACTGTAATGAGAAATACATTTTTTCAGAGAAGGTGCCAATTCAAAAATACTTTATGGATCAGTGTTCACAATTTACTTAAAATTTGCAGTGAAATATAATTGCTCATCATGTTTTTAATGAATAACAAAGGTGCATAAATGAAACATCAAAAAAAAATTCCATTGTAACATTTTTTTTTTATTTAATTTTTTTATTTCTGCATTAAAAAAATATATTGCAATTATGTGTTATGTCACTCTGCAAACTGATTGCATATTATACAAAATCAAATTAATCTTGATAACTTTATATCAAATTCAATTGAAAATAAAGAGCTTCATGTAATGAAGTGCTTTGACAGAAAATAAATTCAATTAAGAGAATAAGCCTGAGAGATTCTTGTGCCTGATTCCCAGGAGATTACACATGGTTGATAATAAGATGCCTTAATGTTCAACTTCCCGCACCAAACTCATTAATTTATCTTTAACTGGATGCATGTCCAGTCATTATTCCCAAGAGATAAATAAAATTACACAATGTAAAAACTGTTTTTAACACTTGATGATGTTTCTTTTTTTAAAGTTTATATGATCTTTTAAGCTGTATAATAGTTACAGATATTCTAGATTCTATGTCTCAAACCTTATACATGAGCCCAAAATGAACAAGTCAATTAAAATAAAAAATAAAACCTGTAAAATGCAAAAAAAATGATTCCAATTGCACACCTTTTTAAAAATCTGTACAAATTTTCACCTTGCAATAGTTTCTGAGAAACCACCACAAAATAAAAATGCACTATAAAATTCAAAATAATAATCGATGTTATAGATTTACAACTGTGTAATATTTGTACAAATTTTCAGACAAATCCTTCCAATAGTTTCTGAACATGGTATGAGAAAAATCTCATCTATTTCAGATTTTTGAAATACATAAAATGGTTACAAGAAAAAGCAACTTAATACTTAAATTTAAGAGAAATACATTTCTTAACTGTAGTGTATCCTTACTAGTTACAATACATGTACATTTTTAAAAACTTAATGAGCCTTTTTTCTGTACATGATTTTTCAAAAAGTGGTCAAGCGGTTGATCATTCTTTTCAGTGGTTCAATGTACTTCTGTAATTGTTTGAGTTTCTCTAGGTAAGCCTGTTCTTCGTGAGATCTGGGGGTGTTTGGGCTAGGGGAACTGGGGGCACCTGTAATAAACACACGATTTTCTTTGTTATAGATCTTATGTATAATAGTTACATCAAGTTACACGCTGTACTTAATATCTTATTGACATTCCTTTCCTTACATGAATATCAATTAACAAGATTTTCCAGACAAAAGATCTGGTTTAAGGACAAGAATAAGAAACATTTAACTGAAACGTTTGAATGTGTAAATTGACATTTTATGGGAAAATTTCTTTAAATTTTTATTTGAAAAAACCAAGATACAAAATTAAAATTACCAGGTAGATTTTTTTCTATTTAAAGTTAAGGAGTTCACAATTGAATTTTCAAAATCAAGGCTCAGATAAAGAGATCCTGAACAACCAAAAGTTTTATACATTATTCAGTATGTTCATTAAATACTTTAAACCAACATTTATTGGAGAAACTTTATTTCGCAATTTACCCCAGGTAAACTAGCTCATGACAATCAATTTTCGTGATCAAGCCTTTTTTTGATCTGTTGTTGATAGACACAGAGACATTAATTAAAGACCAGTTCGTGGCGAGAAATATTCACAATGATGAGGCTCTTGCGAACCTCGGGAAAATTTCTCACACATGAATAAAAGTTGGTTAACAGTAATATGATTTTGTGATTTTCATGTTTTTCCCCAGTCTTCATAAGCTTATCAAGAAAACAGGTTCTTCCCTTGCAAATTAATGCAATTAATAGAAAATAAATTTCTTTTCATGCTCCATCAATTAGTGTAATTTTATATGAAAAAAAGATACAGAAAATTAAAAATACTCCAAAATCATGTCATAACTGAGCCATATGAACTTTAAATAGAAACTATATCCTATTTCAGAAGATTCAGATTTAAATGAATTGGAAATTACAAGTTTAATTGTTTGCTTTGAGCTACATGTAGTTTAATTACCATAAAAAATTTATTAATGAATGGTAAACATATTGTACATCAAGAAATGAAGACTTCTGATAGATCAAAAAGCAAGCCAATGAAAAAATGGTAAACCTGCATTTGTAAAAACAAAGTACAGGGTAGTCTTAAAAGCATATGAATTCATTTATCAAAGAATCTAATACATACTGTATATAAAGCTATTTTGAACTCAAGTTATATAGAAATTGATATTGAACTTTGAGTGAAATGCTTTTTTTTTTAATTTTTGGGTAATGATACCTAAAAAGAATACTTTTGATAGAAAAAAAAATATTTTTGGTAATAACTGAACAGTTTTTAAGACTTTTAGCAATGCAATGCAATCCCCATTTTTAATTTGCATACAAACAGCAAAGGTAAAAATAAAATAGAAGCAAAATTTCTTTATATACTATATGATTTCTTGTATTTCTTCATCAGATATAAAATCATGACAACATCTAAAGAAAAACTTGCATATAAAATTGATCTGTGCTGAAATGAACATTCCCTATTAATGTTTTTTTTTTATGGCTATGAAGATCAGAATCTGATTTTCAAAAATATTTGTTGGTAACCTAGTGGGAATGGTGCTCACTTTGCAACAGGAAGACCCGTGTTTATGCCCCTTGTCAAGCCTTCAAGACATCTGACATTTTGTCATGGAAATCTTAATTTCAATTAAAAACAACTTTTCTATGTCTATCTGAAATCATCAATTATATATAGTATGTCCAGGAACTGTCTTGTTCACATCATAACTAGGCAACAATTTGGGATCATTTGTGTTAACAAACACATCTTGTTTCTTTCAAATTTTGTATCAATCTACCGGTACTAAATGTTCTTATTTAGCATAAAAAAGTCATAAAATGCTCTCAAACACAAACTTTTTGTTCTTGTTAGACCTATGTACTTACCTGGTGTGTTGAGTACCCTGGGGGAGGGGACTCGGGGGTTGTTGACCATTCCCTGTGGGGAGGGGGACATCATCATGCTGCTGATGGAGGGCGGCTTCGGGGAGGGGACAGCCTGTTGTCTGTTATAAAAACACTTCATACTACAGTTATAGCCAGCTTTTTATAAATAAGGAAGATCATAGTAACTTCCTCACCTTCATTTCCTTTAAAAATACATAAGAGAGAAGCACACAGTACTTAAACTTAGTATCAACTTTGACTTCAAGTGTTATTTTTGAAACAGCTGTAATGTAATAATTTTAACAAAATAACAAGATGAACTTTATAATAAGCAACATATTGCTAGAACTTATATAATAATCACTGAAAAGGAAAGATATGGAATCAACATTTGGGTCCTAAAAAGAATGGGTGGACTTAACTGGCCAGAAAAAATGCCGTAAATTTAAGTTTCATAAAATCTTAATTGTTTTCCATCATATAAACCCCCGATATCTTAACTGTGTATTCATGGTACGGTTGTGAATTTAAAACGATCTTTTCGAAGTAAACCAAAAAAATATCGAAGGCATGGTGCCTGAAGATTTCTTGAGTATCAATAGATAATCAGGGTCACGCGTTTTTCATCGTCTGAACACATAGTCAGCGCATGTTTGTCGGCTGTTCTTAAGAAAACTGTAGTTTGTATATTGAACAAAATGATGTTATATTTAAAGGAGAAGTGCCGACAAACGTGCGCTCACACTTAATTTTACAAAAAACATGTTCAAAATAAACTTCTCGCTTCCATTGTTATGACTGCGATTGACCTGTTAAATATTACAATTCATCACGTGATGTCCACCTGCGAGTGTACTCATGAAAACAGTTACATTGTATTCTTCAACCTGACCTCGATCTAAATCGTGTCTTTGAGCGTGTTTTGTTGCCGTTTTCAGAATTTAGCAAATTAAATATTGTTTTAATTTTGCGTGTCATCACATTTTTAAAATAATTTCATATTGACATCGCTGTAATATGCTAAACACGTATTCGAATTGTTGAAGAAAGAGAAGGATAGAGAGAGAGATGTCAATATAATAGCCCCGCCTCCTATAAATATTGATTGTGTGACATAAAAACCAATCCGGGTACATGTCGAATTCCGGAAGACTACACTCGTGTACCATTGCTTCAATGTTGATACTTGACAACAGGGCATTGTTTTTGCAATAATGTTCCACCTAATACAACCAAGTACATGTAGCTCTTTCCATTGCTTGTAATATATTTGGGATTCACTTCATTTTCAGCTTGATAGAGGAGTCGCAAAAAGATCCAAAATAGGGCGTTAAATCCACCCATTCTTTTTCAAAAGACCAGTATAGAAGAGACTTGATAACAAGTTCATCATGCTGGTATTTCTATTCTAAAGTCTGTTGTACCTAATGACTTACCTTTACATATAATCAAGGTGATAACTGCTGTTTGCAGCAGCATAACTCAAAAGACCCCATGGAAAGTTGTATGAATTCTAATACATATACCATAAGTAGGTATCATGGAAGAAGTATATAATTCCATATACCTTCAAAAGGTCACATGGAAGAGGCAAACATATTTCATTTACTATTATCAGTTCAAACAGGGGGCTGTGGGGAACCCAATTATCAGATTAAATGGAGATACATGTTACGATATGTGGATTCTGTCTATGAATGTCGCGTGGTGGGTTGAAAGTTTTTGTATACAATAATTTTGTGTACTGTGTTAGTTACTACAGGGAATTCTGAAGAGAAAGAAATCAAAAAGGCTCTAGCTACACATTTCTCAATTTACTTACGAAGTCATGTTGGGTCCTGGTTGCATCTACAAGGAAAAATATAAGCAAAGCTTAAATCATCTTTACAACAGCATATTAATTAACTGTAAGTGTCCTTATCTTAGCAGCAATCATATTTTAGTGCCTTTTTGTGCTATGTTGTGCCCAGTAATTTTAAAGTACATGCTCATATATACTTACTACAAATACCTATAGAAGCTTCGCTATAGATATACTAATTCATAATTATGCTAATCAGTTGATAAGGAAGATTAAGCAAAATTTTGAGTGCACATCATTACGCATGTTTACAGTACATTTATATATTAAGTGATTTTTCCCTACAGGCATACAGAAATAGAATTCATGCAACCACTTATAAAAGTAAATTATAACATTTAAGTGTTATGTCTTCAATCTTTTAAGCAATATTATGTCAGGAATTTTCATATATGAAAGCAACTTTAAGAAAAATCTTCTAACGTTTCTCAACTGAGGAAGAATAAAAAAAAAATTCCAGACTTTACAAATCTAAGTAACATTCCTCACCTGTTGTCCAAACGGAAGCTGTGAGGCCTGACTGATTCCCCCAATGCCTGAAGTCTGGGGTCTCTGTTGCTGCATGCCATGTTGCATTCCCATGGAACTCATTGGCATTCCTGGTTGCTGCATGGCTGTTTGTTGCATTCCAGGTTGCTGCATTCCTCCTTGCATTTGCTGTTGCAGCCCAGCTTGTTGCATATTGCCACCTGCCATTGTCTGTTGATAAGACATGCCCACCTGCTAAAATGTTTTTCAAAAAATAGATATAAAATGTCAAAAATGTGAGCAAAACCAAGAAAACAACAGCTCCCAACTGTTCATAAGTAAGAAAAGTCAAGCACGTACATGTACTACAAATGTTGTTGACATTTAATTTTATAGGCTTGTTTAATTTCATTTGCTGTTATTTTTTTCACAACTTTCACATCCAATTAACTCCATGTGATGACAACTGCTAATTAAATTATTTTTTTAAAAACTTTTCCAAAAATTATAGAATAAACAAGAAACTAACTGAATTGGCAGGAAGTGGTTGGGCCATGGACTGGACATGTTGAGCAGACGTCACAAGGAATGCATCCTGTCTCTATAAAAATAAAGAGACTGCATCAGTTAAACCAACTCTTCACTTTTTCATGAATACTAGGAAGTTGTTAACCATGAATTAAAAGCATCTATACAATGAATCCAACAGGATATCTTAATGCCACCCTACAACCTCTTCTAACCCCACAGCTAGGGTATCACATTCTACAATACAACCTTATGTACCCCAGCAGGGTTTCACAATGCACCAGACACCCTTCTCACCCTATACAGAATCACAATGCACTATAAAGCTTCTCTAACCCCACAGGGTTTCACAATGTACCACACAACCTCTTATAACCCCATACAGAATCGTAATGCACTGTAAACCTACTCTAACCCCACAAGATATCAAAATGCCAGCACACAACATTCTATAACCTTATAGAGTATTTATTTAAAGAATTTATACCAAGTTTGATAGAAATTATCCAAGTGGCTTTGACATAAGTGTTGCCATCTTGGCGCAGTGGTAGGTGTCTGCTCTTGAGTCATGGAGTAAGGCGTCGATCCTTAAAGTTGTGGGTTTGAATCCCACAGTGGGATGTGGAAACCAGTCCTTTGGATGAGACAGTATAAACAGAGGTCCAATGTTGCATTAGGTGCTGGCACGAAAAAGATCCTTCACTGCTCAATGACTGAATGCAGAGCATAGGTAAAAAAAATTGCAGCTCTCCACCGGGAAATGGTGGCGTCTTCATATGAGTTAAAATTTCTTATGAGGGACATTAAACAAACAAACAAAAGACATAAGTAAAGATAACAGACAAACAGATAGATGGAGGATAAATATTTTTCCAAAGATCACCTAGTATGCCTTTTTCTAGGCAAGCTCAAAACAATCTCAGCTGTTACTGGAAAATAAACATGATGATAAATGATACATCAATATCAATAATTGCTTTCTTATTCTAGGAAAAATGAAGTTGCCCCGTACACAAATATTGATTTCCTTTATTTAAGGATAAAATAGTAGAGATGAAATTGTAAGTCTCCTTATAGACTTGAAGAGCATATGTGACATTTTTTTTAATGAAACAAGTAAGGTATAAAAACTTCAAAACTTAATAAAAATCTTAATCTTGCATGTACACTTTGTGCAGACAGAGTTATCACTCTTTTTAACACAACTGTACCTGCTGAGCAGAGAAATAAAATGGGAAAAAGTAATTGTGTACTGTATAGATTTCATATAATTCTTTATATCTTCAACAAAATTCATATTTATTCAAGAACTTTATCATATCTATGAAAATCAAAGGCCCATGAGCTCGATTAGTCACCGGAGTCTCATTCTGATTCAGGTACTTTCTGTAAACATTACCTTCACACAATGCCCCGATCTCGAAGAAGAGGAATACTCAGTAGGTAAAAGAGAGTTAGCAGTCCAAAGCAATTTTTCTTCGTTTTTTTTTCAGCCTCTATAAGCTACTTATTCAGATATAAATTTTCTATTTTTAGCAAAAGAAGCCATTATGACAAAAAGGACCTTAGTCAAACTCTTGAAAAGAACCCAAGGGTGCAAATAAGTACATCACAACTAAAAACAATGTCAATTAAGTTACAGCACAGAAACCCAAACTCTAAAAATTCAAGATGCAGAACAGATTCAAGCTAAGAGAAGCAATCATCCAGAAAACATTCCAACAAAATCTTACTTTGCCCCACCTTCTAACTTCTGAAGGGCCATGGATTTCAAAATCCAATTTTCCCATTAAAATTGGACATTTTTGGTTTCCCTTTAGACCAGAGCAACACTAAGGGATCATGTAGACAAAAAGAACATTATGGAGAACATAGAAACTCAAAGATTGTCATCAATTTACCTCCAGTGGTGGGCGTTGCTGCATCTGCATGTGCCTTTGCTGTTGTTGTTGCTGCTGTTGCATGAGCAAGCGTTGCTGCTGAAGATGTGCTTGTTGTTGCTGATTTATCATCCCTGTAAGATGAAAATCAATTTGACAGTAAAGTTAACAAACGATTCTGGGTCTTTTCTTGTCACTTACAGTAGTCCAGTTCATGATCAGACTTCCCAGTAGATGTTTACCCTTATAATATCAATAGGTCTCATCCAAATGTGTTAAATAATCAAAGCTGTTTTTCAATAACACCTGTCCTATTAACCTACAATGGTGTCGTCACAGCATATCGTATAGCGGGTTATATTTTAGCGGGGTGCTAATTTTGGCTTATTTTGATGATAATCAGCTAAAATTTTAATCGCTAAAATAGTCAGTACTCTTCTTAGTGTCCATCAGTAAAGAGTTGAAACCTTGCATCTGCTAAAATGAATTATGCAAAAATTATTGGCGTACCTTTGTGTAGGCAAAACGCCAAATTTTACACCCGCCAAAAAATCCCGCTACACGGTATTTTGGTAAATACAATGTTTCATTTGTAGTGACTATATCTAAAATTTCTCATTTACCAAATACTGTACAATCTGTATATTAAATAGAATTATTAATAAAAGTGGACATTCAATTTGAATTTATATGTAGAAAACTGTCATTTTCATGCATTTCAGTTATTCAAGTCAAAGAAAAACTTGAACATACATTGTGTTATAAAACCTAAGCAAAGGTTGCAATGTCTATAAGAAATTAATTATTTCAAAAATATATATAATATATAAAATTTTCCGCTGAATATATAAGAAAAAAAACCAATACTTTGTAGGCATTTCGGCAGATTTATAAAGTAATCTCTCTCTGTTTATTTTTTTATTAACAGGTTTGGGTTGATATGGACGTTGACATACAAGAATGGGCCTTACTGTACTCTATATCATTTTTTATTCCATTTAAGAAATATCCGCCAGTTTTGTAACCTTCTACATTACATGTATAACTTGCAAATAGTTGTGAAGCATTTATTTTGTTGTGTATTTGTATAGAATACATGTGTATTTCCTATGTCACAAATATTATTCATAGCAGATTGATTTTAAACTGCCAAATTGCAAATAAAAAATGGTGCAAATAATTCATTTATGGTCTTTTCTCTTGGCACAGACTGGAATGACACTCTCTCATGGGTAAAGGGCATCGCATGCAAGCCATCAAGTGAATATTTCTTCGGAAAGTTTTTGTTTTCAAGAAAACCTTTTTCTATTTCTGGTGCAGTGTTTCTTGAGAAGGAATGCATATTTCGTATATGGCCTTATCCCTTTGAAAAGGTCCTCTATCTGAACTTATAAAAAAAAGTGAGAGAAAAAAAGACAGTATTAAGTTTTGAAAATATTTGAATTTGAGTTCTCATCATAGAATGATGTGTTGTTCTATGCTTAATAAAAATCCTGCCCAATCATTTTGTTGAAGTAATAAACAAATTGCAAAATGACTAACATGATGTCGAAAATAAAATGTAATAAATAATGAAAGTTAAAAAAAAATTTAGAAAAATCAAAATATAACAGAAATGAAATCTGATGTAAAAAGTAATGAACAAACCATAACTAAACAATCACTACTCACACACAAACTCAGATAAATCTATCTCATTCCACCACAGTTCTTCTGTTTGAGGATACAGATTTTATTAATAAATAACTCAGAACATATCCTTATGTGATGAACATGACCAGGAAAAACACCATTTAGTTAATTATTGATGTCCTTTTGTTAAATATAATCTGATAGTTGATGTATTTTGGTATGATTCCTCAATACGTACCCTGCTGCCCAACTGGCCCAATGCCCTGGACCGTCAGGTTCTGTAAGGCCCCAATGGGGTCCTGCATGGGCTGGGACATTCCAGCAGGCCCCGGGGCCATCCCCTGGGGCATCCCCATTCCTCCTGGACCCTTAGGCTTGTCTTTATTGGCATCTACAATAAATAAGTATACTTAGGTCTTAAACCAAAGTAAACTGTTAACATTCAATATCATATTGCACTACCATTATTGTCACCACTTTAATAACCATTTGATATTTGATCAGTGTTATTCTCATGTTTTTCACAATAATTTTCATGTGAACTTGATTCCTCGGTGTAGTAATATATTGTTCTATGTATCATTTTCCCATCAGCCCACTGTATCCACTACCAGCATCAGATACTCCCTGGCAACATATGGCCTTATAAAAAACAATTTTATAAAAAGGAAGACTTTCTACTCTGCTTTCAAACTATAGTTATAATGGATGTAACACTAAGTGATTATGGGCTTGATTTGCTCCAGATTAAGGAGAAATCCATTAGGCCTGATGTAATAGGTAGGTGTTGATGATGGAGCCCTAGAATCAATCGCTCTACACTGCTGTCCTCTGTCATACAAGGTGGGGGATTAGGCATGCAAATTAACGGCCTGTTTACAGAAATGGATCAAAACAAAGGAAACAAGATTTCTGCATGATATGGTCATTGAAGTTTGGTACATCTTTGTCTTTATATTAGCCAGCTCTTTCTGAATTGGAGTTGGAAATGTAAGATATAAAACCAGGACCTTGTAAACCTTAAAAAAAAATTACTCTCTACAGAGCTGAAATTCAAAACATACCACAGTAAGCAAAATGAAGAAGGCCAAGGGCCTGAGTAGGCATTCCAGGCAAGCTAAGCAGGCCTTTTCCAGTTTATTTCTAAGTGATTTACATCACCAATCAACTCCACTGTAATATGCAGTCTGTCATGAAGCCGTTAACAGTAATCTGTCATTGTTCATAAAACTTTTTTGTTCGTAAAAATTTTCTTTATAATCTCCTTACTGCTAAGAGTTCCATATTTCTGCTTAACTGGAAACATGAATTGGGTATTAATTTCAGAAAATACTCAATCATACATTCATAGATTTTTCCTTCCTTTCTCCAATATGAGCAGAATAATATTCCAGCTTAAATTTGTGAATCGATAATAAGATACAAGACACACTAATTCACTTTGTAGAATAATTCCTATCAGGCCCCAGGATATGACAATGCCTAACAGAAGCCAATTTTGGGATTGAATTTTCAGAGGAAGTTTCCACAACCAGAACCTAGCTAGGGTGAGACTAAATTAGTCAGTGGGAAATCAGGTGATAAACTGCTTTGGGTTATATTTTCCTGGCTTTTTTAAATCATTTTTTTTCTTAGGCCACTCCAATTTAATTTCATGTTCATCAGACATCTGATGAAAAAAAGTAGAAGCGGGCAAGCAGTTAAATAATATTATTACTTTTTTGAAAGCAAAACTTTAAGGTGGAACATGAAATAAATTGATAGGATAATTATATTTTTTCTACTTTTTTTCTGATTTGCCAAGTTAACAGATGTAAAATATGAAAAACAGATAGGAAATAGAACAGAAATTGGCACAAAATTTTCCAGGTGCAGGAAATTTAATATTATTTGTATAGTTTTGTTAAAATACAAGTGTGTGGGGCCCGGTTCAACAAGCAAAAAATTAAATTTGTGTGGCCTATAAGTATGGATTTTTCCCTAAATACTGTGGAATCATTAAAATTTGTAAGGACCAATATTAACGGATTGTATACATTTTACAGTATTTTTTGGATGTAATTCCACATACATGTATTCTCTTATGCCAACAAAAGGAAATATGACTCAAAACCCTATTTTATTAATTTGTACATAATATTAATTCCATAATGAGAGGAATTCACAATTTCCACAAAAATTGAACCATAACAAAATCTAAGGATTGGACAGTATAATAAATCTTGAAAAAAAAATAAAACAAACAAAACGAAAGAAAAAATGAGCGAGCTCACATACCCCACACTCCCCAAAAAGTCAAAGTGCTGAAATTCCCGGAGAAAAATAAAGGAATCGGAATTTCCTGGTAATATGCACATCTACACATTGTGTCCTAAATATCTGCAAAGTTTGAAGTTATTGTGTGCACCGGTTTATGAGGAGTTGCGCTGACAAATTGTTCATCTCTATATTCAAGATATGGCCAAAAATCTAAGTGTAAAAGTGCAGAAATTCCCTAAAAAAATAAAGGAATCGGAATTTCGTGGTAATATGCATATGTACACTATGTGTCCTAAATAACTGCAAATTTTGACATAATTGTGTGCAGCGGTTTATGAGGAGTTGCACTGACAAACTGTTCATCTCTATATTCAAGATATGGAAAAAAATCTAAGCGTAAAAGTGCGAAATTCCCTAAAAAAATAAAGGAATCGGAATTTCATGGTAATATGCATATGTACACTATGTGTCCTAAATATCTGCAAATTTTTACGAAATTCTGTGCAGCGGTTTATGAGGAGTTGCGCTGACAAAAAAACAGGGCTGACGGACTGACATTCTGACGGACAGGTCAAAAACATTATACCTCACGCAACTTGTTGCATGGGGTATAACAAGAAGAAAGGAAGGGGTTCAATTACTTAGAAACCTATTAGAACCAAGTGCATCGGGTGCAACTGAGAAAAAGTTACTATACTATTGATTGTTGAACACCTTTTTGTGTTTGCAGAAAAACATAAGTTGAATATTTAACACTACCTTTTCATTATCAATACAAAAACCATCACAAACAGCAATTTACCAGTGTATGCTTTGTAATTTTTTTTCAATATATAAGAGAATGTATTCATTACTGCAGCACTAAGTCCAAGGATATATAATCAGGGATTAAGAGACCAGTGCAATGATGAACATTATATGAATAAACCTGTTAATCAGAGAGTGATTAGCTTTGCCGATGAATCCTTTAAGTAATAATTCATCCTTTAAGTAATAAGACTATCTCTGGAAAGCTTCGCCCAACGGCCACTGGTTCAAGAACCGTGCACTGACACTTCTCACCAAACCATTGATACAAAATCAATGTCAGAATTCTAAACCATATTTAATCTTCTCTAATGAGGAATCACATCTCTAATCAGATGAGGTCTGTAAAAGGCAAGTTTTCCTCACCCTGTCTGTTTTATTCTATGAATGGGAAAATGCAGTCATTTTTTTCCTCAATTGAGATTATTTTTCCTATATAGTGTAAATGTTTGATTTCTGTTTCTTAGTAACACTGATGTCAGTCTTCAACCCTTGAACCAATGATAAACACAATTATTATAGATGAAAACAAAACCAGTCTTGCACTTTTTACTGTCGGCAGATGTTTCAAACCAAGTTGATATAAAATAGATAGGAAATATTCCTTCATTTAGAGTTCAGTGCTTATAGGTGAAAGTTGTGGGTTTTTCAGATGAGACCTTAAATACCAAGGCTATGGTAGCCAATGGCACAATAAAGATTCTACACTGCTCAATGGCCCAAAGTGAAGAGAAAAGGTCTAAATTTTAAGACCTCCATAAAGATCCTACACTGCTCAATAGCCCTAAGACCTGATTAAAGGGCTTAATTTGAAGCCCTCCACCTGCATGCTGTGACATTCTATATGTCAAAAGTAAAACAATCTTGCAAAAGACATAAAACTACAAACATTCATGAATCAATCTTTTTTTAAGACCTGATTAAAAGGGTATATAAATTTGAAGCCCTCCACCTGCATGCTGTGACATTCTATATGTCTCATACCACTGAAGGAAAGTTAATGAAACTTTCACAGCAAAAGACATAAAACTACATATATTTTGGATTTTCATGCAAAACATCATTTTATCTTTTTTTTTGAGCTCATTTTTTTGAAATATGTCTTTGTCATAGATAGAACAATTTTCTTGTACATTTTGTACATAAATTATAATTGTTCCAGATGAAGAAAATCACTTCCTGTCTCCAGACAAGGTATATCTACTAGCATTATCTCTGTTGTCTCTTGAGATGAAGAAAATTTTTTACAATTACCAGAAAGTAATGACAATTTTTAATTTGCAAGAGCATTTTCATTAGATTTTTTTTTCAATGCCTAGTTGATTGTTCCTGGTATTCAGTACCATAAATACTATTTACTTTGCTTATTTACTAAACAGCAAAGACGGTTTGTAAGTAAAGACAGCTTTGGATGTTGTTTGATAATTTTTTCCAGGGCCAGTTCCAATACTGCAGAGCTGAAGAAGTCAGAAGCCATTGTGGTGGAAATTGAGATGTTAACATGAAGCTGATCAGTTCTTCATTAGTTGGAATGGCATTGATTCCTCAACTAAAAAGTCCTCTCAGTCAAAATGCCAAAGCTTAATAATGCTAGGCCCTAGAATTCTTCACACCCGGCCATATTGATCTCAGCTGTCCTCAACTAATGTTCCATACTGGATCAAATTTTAACAGAGCTCATTTACAATTGTACTCTTTTTTTTTCTTCAAATGCTTAAGAAAATCTTCACATTGGAGTGTATCAGGGAAACTATGGATACAAACATTTGATTTACAAATCGTTTAAATTGTTTAAATCCTAACTGATCCAACATTATTTTTAATTTATCATAATGCTGGTGTGTTTCGGGAGATTATAACATGTTTCTAGAGAAATGGACTTTTATCATGAAGCTCACAAGACATTGACCTTGCAAAGGTCAAATCAGGTGTTCAGATACAGAAATGCTGATGTCAGTATAAATAAAATTGATCATAGCTGATTTCAGTATATGTATACTGTCAAAAAAAGATCTGAACAACAGAAGACAGAAAGTTATGCATTAGGTACAGTGAAACATGCTTATAACAATTAAAGTGCAAGGAATGGATGATTTTGGTTTGCTATGAACCTAATTTGCTACATCTGTTACCCTCACAATATATGTATGCTTTAAATCCTAAGGGAATGAAAATCACTTCACAGTAAGCTTCAATTCATTGTAAGTGTGTTTCCTATATGCAGGTTTTACTGTATTTAAGTGTTTACTCTATGTATTGTTTCATTTTTAATTTAATAAGAAAGAATATGAAATTCACCTAATTATATATCAAAAGCCTTTTTCA